GAGGAGGAAAGGAGCATGTCGGGGAGACGCCGGCATGCTGATGCGCTGGTGGGGCTGACAGTGCCTGAGGATGCTGCAGTGGATGTCAGCCAATTAGGGCCCGCCAGCTCGTTAGCTGGTGCGAGCGCGAGAGCTCTGCTTGACTAACTAACGTGCCAGTTTGCCGCCCAGGGTGTGCATGAGCCGCCCAGGGTGTGCGTGAGCCGCCCAAAAGCCCAAGGGCGCTGCTTTACTAACTGTTTGTGACGTGAGGCTGCTCGTGTTGGTTGGGGTTGGGACCCGGATGTGGCTGTTGGCGCTTCAGAGTTCGGAACTACCAGGCCTTGGCTGTGATAAAGTGGTGAATGATGGTGGGTTGTGTGTGTTGTCTGTGCATTGCGTTGAATGAAATGAGATAACAATTTGTACCCATGTGATGAAGTCCCACATGGGCCTTTAACACTTGGGCTGGCCCCAACTCGGGCTACGTTATCCATAGTGCAACAGACGACCATCGATGTGTTTGCCTTGATGAGGCGTACGTACGTACCTACCGTCAGCCCCCGGATATACGTGCCCCTGGGGTGCGCTTATAATCGAGGATTTTTATAAGCGCCGAGGCTAGGTCATCGCTTCCGCCTCGCCTACCCTAGCTAGCCCTCGCCTCGTCCTTAGCACGTCCCCTAGTGCGCCCCATAGCGCGCCTCCTAGAGCGCCCCTAAAGCCCCCCCCCAACCCCCCAGCGCGCCCTTAGAGCGCCCCCTAGCACGCCCCCTAGATCATCACGCCCTAACGCCATCCTAGCGCCAGCCCGCGCACCGCCCTGCGCTAGCCCTAGCGCCGCATGCTGCCCTTGTGCCAGTCTGCGCCCGCGCCCTAGTGCACACACGCCTGCGCCCTCTTGCCAGCCCGCACACCGCCCGGCGCCAGCCCGCGCGTTGCCCGTGCACTGCCCGCGTGCTGCCCGCGCCCCGCCCTAGCGCACCCCTCCCTTAAGCGCCCCTTTGCGCCCCTCCGACAACCAGCTGCGCGCATCAGCCAGCAAGCAGCGCGCCAGCCAGCCGCGCGCGCCAGCCAGCAAGGTTTAGGGTGCTGACGCCGGCGCTGACGTGGAGGCATGATCGTCGGGGTGGAGGGGGTGGAGGTGTTGACGCTGGGAGTGCTGGTCCTGGAGGTACGGCCAAAGGAGGTGCTGGTCCTGGGGGTCTGACTGTTACGCAGCAGCAGCAGCAGGAGCAGCAGCAACAGTAGATCCAACAGTGGGCTTGTCAGCAGCAATGGGGACCTGGTGGCCCTGGGAGCGTCGGTCGCGCTGGCAATTTCGACAGCTGGGTGTCGCGTCGCTGCGAGACTGGGCCCTGTCAGTACCGGCTTCTCTCTGGTCCGGGCGCTGGCACTATCGGCGGGCGTCAGGATCATTTAACATCGCACTACTTCCGCCGCCTCGACGACCTATATCGTGGCCGTTTTGGGCCTCAGGCACCAAGCCCGGACTGGTCTGTTCTGATGCGCCGTGGTTTGCATATTTTTACTGTGGACAAGTCTGGTGTTTATTCGGCTCTAGGTGTTGTTGACTATAATGTTGCTGGATCTCATTATTCGTGTGTGCCTAGACAAGGATCTTTAGCTGTCTCTAGTGTAGGATCTTATGCTGTTGCTTGCCGAGGTGCGCCCACCTCTAACGCATGACTCTCCTTTATGCTTGACTCCTGCGCGTCCCAGTGCTTCTTCCGCGACCGCACCACCCTCTCACCACTTCCAGCTCCAGTCGCAATCGCTTTGGCCGTGCCCCCCTCTGGACCATACGTCGCTCGCAGCGCTACTACTCTCCCGTGTCCGGCAGTCCCCTCTGGCTCCCTCAGAGGTCTGCAAATCCCCTCGTTCTCTAGGAACTTGGTGGGTGTCGGTCAACTTCAGGAGATCGGTGTCACCTCCAGGACCTTCACATTGTCTGGCCACAAGCGGTTTCCGACCTGTACGGACGCGCTACCATTGGGGCACCTCTTGGCACGTTCCCTCGAAAACCCGCATCAGGTCTGTTCACGCTAAACACTACTGATAGAAATGGAGCTTGAACCGATTGATTAGAATAGAAGGCACTAGGTCTTAAGTACAAACAGAGCTGGGTGGGGTAAGGCTAAGGGAATGGATGCGTTGGAAAACCAAGCAAATCTCCAATAATGAGTTGGCAGATTTGTTGGATTACGAGGGGATCCCAACCAGATAAGGTTGGGATAACAAATTTACACCCAACCTACACGATATCAAATAGAGTACACAAATGTGTTGACAGCGTAATTCTAACACATCAGCCACAGGGAGGCCGAACACCCATGGACGAGAGGAGGCGGTAATGGTCCTGGCGACCAAGTGACTCGGTAAACAAGTCAGCAAGGTTGCAGTAGAAGGCAATGTGTTCAGCCTTCAACTGCTCGCGCTGCACCAGCTCACGAAGAAAGTAATGACGGATCTCAATGTGCTTGGTGCGGCTGTGGAAGACGGAGTCCTTGGTGAGATGAGAGGTGCTCTCGTTGTCACACCAAAACGTGGGGGTTGGTTGAGGATACCCGAGTTCTGCCAGCAGGAAGGAGAGCCAATGGGCCTCCTGGGCAGCCATGGTCCCAACATACAGCTCTGCCTCACAGGATGACAGTGAGACTGAGGACGATCGAGTGGAGAGCCAACTCACAACGTCGTTGCCCAGGGTAAAACAATACCCTGAGAAGAGCGCCGATCACTCTGGTCATCAGCGTATGACGAATCACTGTACCCCTCAAGGCGAACAGGTGAAGAGCCGCCAAGAGTGAGCACATAATCATGTGTGCCTTTGAGATAGCAAAGGACCCGCTTGGCGGCAGACCAGTGGTGGCTCGAGAAGCGACCAGTTGCAACGTAGCGAGACAATACACTGACTGGGTAGGCCAAGTCTGGTCGACTGCACATCATCGCGTACACGAGTGATCCAACGAGCTCCGGGTATGGCTCGTCACAGGGCTCAGGTGCGGGAACAGAGGGTGCAGTGAGTTGGTGCTGCAGAGAGAGTGGAGTAGGCATTGATGTTGCTTCCTGCATCTTGAACCGCGTCAGGACATTGTTGATGTAAAACTTATGCGAGAGGGTGATGGTGCGGGCCGTGCGATCACGTGTGATTTCCATGCCCAAATAGTTCGTGAGCTTCCCAAGATCCTTCATGGCCAGCTTCTCCCCAAGTGCGGTTTTGACTGCAGCCAACTCAGCCTGATCCTTGGTGACAAGGATCATTTTATCGACATAAACCAGGATGAAGAAGCGGGATGGGGTTGCTCGGATGAAGAGGCTGGGGTCAGAGGTGGATGGGTGAAAGTCGAGGGTGCTCTTGAGCTTGTTGTGCCATTCCCTGGGTGCTTGCTTGAGGCCAAACACTGGCCGATTCCGCTGTTGTTACGGAATTCGCCGAGTACACTCCAATTTGTGCAGCTCGATATGCACGATTCGACATTGGACCAAGTTGGAGGGAAGTGACTGTCTCTGTTGCAAGGACCTGCACAACTACTCATGGGCATGTAGAAAATGCACCTGATGATATTTTCACCTGATGGTATTTTCACCTGGCGGTGCCAACCTGGAACCGCATATGCTAGAGTAGTTGTTTGCACGTTCTCCTTGAACAAAGTTCTTCATGAAAACGTTATCCTAGAAAGTTCTTGTACACGTCACTATGTTTCCTATAATGTTCATGTTGTTTCCCTTATGATCTATCAATTTATCAATTTCGTTCCTTCCGTTACTGGATACCAATGATACTGTTTTTCGAATACACAAAACTCGCGCCTCTATCCGATCTTGCAACTCCGCGAATAGGCTATCCCATGATCTCATATTCTCCGCAAGATTTACCGAGATCCCACGTAGTTCTGTCAAATGATATAAACATTTCAGACACTCGGTTTTGTTTTGTTTTGTTTTTTTTTTTTTTTGTTTTTTTCCGACAAAATCGGCACGGTCGATATTTCTACTTGAACAAAATCGATGGTGATAAAGAACAAAGTGTTCTTTTTGCGGGGTAGTGTCAGAACTTTCCATGCTGGTAAGATATTTGGTGGTGAAAATGAAGTCCTAAGTTTTGCACCTTTATCTTCACAATGGCCAGATAATCCAAAACCCTGCCACCCGTTACACGTGGTGAAAATAACGCGGACCAAGTGTTTGAGGCAAATAGTGTTGTACGCGTTGTGGAAGCTAGACGCGAAGTAATTTCGATTCCTTACACTTACACGATCACTTGACGGAGCAAGTTGCGCCGCTCAACCGTCAAATCGACTGAGATCGACGATTTCCCGCGTCGTGTTACTGTACCGTCGAGAAAGTCGTCGCGCTGTTAGAACTGCATATTGGAAGACAGTGCGAATATGAGACTCTGTCGCTTTCGCTAAAGCTACGCGCTTTTTCGTTGCCGCTTGTTCACCCGATGAACGCGGGTTTGCAGACACAAAATCGAGCTTGATACGTAACTGTAACTGGGTTTGCGAAAGCTATCCAGTGGTCCTATCTTCCCGTGCATCAAGTCGCTTGGTGTCAGCCAATGCTGTTTGGTGGTCCTCCTATCCGTCCGTACTTCACTCCACCACACACAGCTACCTTTCGCGTCTTCAGAAGTGTGGTTCCATCCACAGGCGTGCTATCCAGCAGTCAGTCACCCTTAGGAATAAACAGAGCGACGGAGTTCTCCCAATTTTGAGAAGCGCACCACGCCACGCCATAACAATCCGTACCCTGCCACATAGTCCTCGCAATGGTTGGCACTGCTGCATGACTGAACCTGATTCGTCGAAACGTGTATCTTTCGCGCCAACGCCCTAGAGAGTGACGTCGGCTACGGTCGCCACGTCCTTGCACGTGACAAATTGTACAGTCAGAGCTGCGGTTTTAGGTTAAGTCGCCGTCCTTTCCACCAGCTGCAAAGCTTGTGTGCGAGCAACAGTGTTCTGCCGTGAGTCCCGCCGCCAGTGCTAGTAGGGTCGCCAGCTGAAGCGTCAGAACCAATGCCAGTCACCATCGGTCACGGTACGATAATGCCTCTGCTGCACGCCCGCTTTTCCCGCCGTTTCACTTCCTCACTCTCCATTCCAGCATGTCGCCTTGCCTCTTCTCCTTTGCTCTTCTAGACTGTCGCGCAAATTTTCTCTCTTTGCACGAGCTTTCTACCTGTTTCCCATGCCTGCTTCCCATGTTGCAGTGATACACGTTAATACGTCCCTGCCTCCTTACCTGCTTCCCATGCCTGCTTGCCGTTCCTCCATCCGACATGTTACCTTCTTCCTTCCCTCCTTTCTCCTTCTCCTGCCTCTACCCTGTCACCGCCTGTCGCGCCAGTCATTGAACCCTTCAAACCCCCCGCTCTTCACGTTCTTATATTTTTTTTTCCTGTCCATCCTTGCTCCCCATCCCTGCTCCTTATCCTTGCTCCGCAACCCATCCGACAACCCCGTAACGCGCAGCGGTGGATGCCAACGGGGAGTTAGTACCACCGGCGGGTCTCTCCACCAATCCCAGCCCTTCCAGCGAGAGCGGCAGCGCGCGCTCCTTCAAGCCCGTGCGCACGAAGGAGCCGCGCAAGTCCACCTCCGCCGGCACCTCGTCGTCGCGCACGTCGCGCGCGTCGCAGCCAGCCAGCCTCCGCGTGCCCAAGTCGCCTCGCTCCAACGCCTCCTCCTCCTCCCCCGACCAGCCTACTGACACTAACGCCGTAGACCAGTCCACTACGCGCGAGCACACCGCGCGTAGCGGCGGAAGCGGCGGAAACGCCCGGCGGTCGCGCCATAAGGCGAACTCGTCCGCGGACTCGCTGTCGAGCGCCTCCGCCGTCACGACGGCGTCGGACGATGGCGCGGGCGACGCGGCGGAATTAGCAGCACCCGCGGAACCACCCTCCACCTCCGCCTCTGCGCCTACCGCTTCCGGGCGCAAGAGCGCGGCTTCGAAGAAGGAGCGGGTGGCGGAACAGGAGATAGACGTTGAGGGTAGGAACGAGGGAGAGGGGGAGGAAGGAGGCGCGGGAGAGCGGGAGGGGGAAGGGGAAGAGGAGGAAGACGAGGACGAGGCGCCGGCTTTGCAGCGCGTGCAACGATCCACCACGGCTCCGCATTACGAGCGCGTTAAAGGCGCCGCGGTCGGGGACGAGCCGCGGCCGATGCGCGTGAGCACGAGCTACGACGCGCGGGGCAAGCGAGGGCTGTTACTTTCGCCGAACACACATCGCGTGGTTTCTTTCGCCAGCGACGTGAAGCTTCCTGAAGGGTTCGAGGGCGAAGACGCCGAAGCGTTTAGCCGGAACAGCACGGGGGGGTTGGTGGGGTATCAGCAGGTTGGGGGCTTGCCGCGCCCGTTATCGGCACCTTCGTTAATAGCGCAACTGAACTCGATGCTGACCCCGTCGAGATCCGTGGGGAGTTTCACGGAGAGCGTTGGGGTCAGCGGAATCGCGGTGTACGTGGGGCCCAAGGTGCGTCGGAGTGCATGCGTTTTGGTGTTTATTCATGATATAGAAGCACTGTAGAAGGAATTACGCCAAGTAAGAAAACAAAATCAAACACGAATAAGTGTAACACGAAGCAATTCGGGTCCAGTCGTGTACGCTTAGTCTTCATAAGATAATGTGGTAGCATTGTACGCAATGTCTTGCTTCCTGTTGCCCTTCCCCTCCTTGATTCGTGCTGTTGTCACTCCCCTCGTATCGCTCCCTTCTCCTTTCCCCTCCCTTCCTTATCATCTCCGTCCCCTCACCCTTCACTCCTCTCATTTCCCTCCCCTCCTTTGCCTTCCCTTTTCCTGTCTCATCTCCTTTTTCTCCCACTCCCCCTGATCATCTCCAGTCAGTCTTATGTCTCATAATGCCAGCCATGCCACGCCATTCTCCTCCCCCCTGCCACCTCCCCATGCCAGCTCCCCCCCACCTCCGCCAACCCTCACTCACATCTACCTCCTCAGCTTTCCTCCCTCCCTTTCCCCACTCGGTCGAGTGGCTAGGATTTTCTTCCATCATCTTATGCCTTTCCCCCCCTCATGCCTCTTCCCCCTCATGCCTCTTCCCCCTCATGCCTCTTCCCCCTCATTCCTCTTCCCCCTCATGCCTCTTCCCCCTCATGCCTCTTCCCCCTCATCCCTCTTCCCCCTCACGCCTCCCCTCTTTATTTCTACCCTCTCATGCCTCCCCCTTAATGCCTGCCCCCTCGTTCCTCTCCCTCGTCCCTTCCCCTTCATGCCCCCGGCCCTCCCCCTTAACGCCCCCCCTCGTCATTCCTCCCCCTCGTGCCACTCCCCCCGATGCCTCTAAGATTTCATGCCTCTCCCTTAGTGTCTCCCCTTCATGCATCCCCCCTTGTGCCTCTCCCATTGCTTCTTCCCCCTCATGCGTCTCCTCTCCTCTCATGCCTGCTCCTTCATGCCTTCCCAGCTCATGTCTTTCTCCCCCCATGCCTCCCCCTTCATGACTCCCCCCTTCATACCTACTTCCCCCCTCCCATGTCTTTCCCCCCGCATGCCTCTCCCAGTGCTACCTCCCCAAGATGCAATGCTCCGAGTGACCAAGGCGCTGCCCATTAAGTTCCCCTTCTTCCTCCTTGCGCCTCCCCCAGTCATACCTCCTCCACAACGCCCCCCCTGCTCGTGGCTCCCTCATTGCCGCTTTCCTGGTCATGCCTGCAGCCTGCCCCCCCACCCCCCAGATGCAACTCTTCCGTGTGGTGTGACCAGGGCGCTGCTCATGAACATCCCTTTCTTCCCCCTCTTGCCCTCCCTGCTCATGCCTTTCCCCTCCTGCCTCCCCCCTTGCTACTTTCCCCCTCTCATGCCTGTCTCCCCTCGTGCCTCCCCCCTTGCTACTTTCCCCCTCTCATGCCTCTGTCTCCCCTCGTGTCCCCCCCCCCCCCCCACCCCCCAGATGCAAATGTTCTGCGCATGACCAAAGCGCTGCTCTTGAAAATCCCCTTCTTACCCCTCCTCTCATACCTCTCCATCAATTCTTTTCCCCCTCATGCCCTGCTCATGCCTTTCCCCTTGTGCCTCCCCTATTGCTGCTTCCCCGTTCATGCCTGCCCCCCGTCCCCCTTCCCCCCAGATGCAACTGTTCCGCTGATGAAGACCCCCTTCTATCCTCATACCTGCCAATCATGTCTTCCCCCTTTCTCCCCCGGTTGTGCCCGCCCCCCCCCTCTCCCCCCCCCACCAGATGCAACTGTTCCGAGTGACGAGGGCGCTGCTCATGAAGATCCCCTTCTTCCGCAAGCAGCTGGAGGCCTCCACGCCAGATGGCAAGCTGCAGGTGACGTGGCGTCTGATGACGTGGCATGTGATGACGTGGCATGGATGGAATGACGGGATGTGGCGTTTCATTCATTGTGCGTGGCGATGGTGTAGTGGTGCATTTCGTGCAAAGCATGGTGTGGTGTGGTGTGGTGCGGTGCGGTGTGGTGCGATACTGCATTCATGGCATGCCATGGCGCGATGCATTGTATATTGCAGCCGGCCTTATGAAAGAACCTCACCCCAGCCATGAGAACATTTCCTCTTATGTGGCGCCCGCAGGAGTTTTCTCGGGTGCATTTAAGAAAAGAGTAAAAACGAAGATAATAACCGTTCCCACGTCGTCCTGAGCTCTTGTGGCAACAGCGGTGAAACGAATTTCGATGCGCCTAAAAAAACAAAAATGAAAAAGTCAAGGAAAGGGAAACAACCGTAGAAATGAACAAACCCCACTCTCACCCCTGCACCTCTCCACTGTCACCCTGCACCCCACTGACCCTGCACTCCACTGTCACCCTGTGTGACTTGTGCTGTGGCAGCAGCCGCCAGAGGAGGCACCAGAGGACGAGGAGGTGCCGTTCATGCTGCACCGCTCGTGAGCTGGCCTGCTTCTGAGACGTGTGTTGGATTGCAAACCCCCTGTGCCCTGTCCCTGCATGCATGCAGCCGCCAGAGGAGGCACCAGAGGACGAGGAGGTGTCGTTCATGCTGGACTGTGATGAGCCCACCTTCTCCCGCGTCCTCATTGTCGTGCAGTACCACAGGTATGATGGCGCTGTGCCACAGCCACAGGTACCTGCGGCATTGCTGCAGGTATGGCAGCATCAGAATACGGCAGTATCGAAGGTACGGCAGCATTGGAGGTATGGCCGCATCGGAGGTACGGCAGCATTGGAGGTATGGCAGCATCGGAGGTACGGCAGCATTGGAGGTACGGCAGCATCGGATCATTGAAGGTAAGGCAGCATTGGAGGTACGGCAGCATTGGAGGTGCGGCAGCATTGGAGGTACGGCAGCATTGGAGGTGCGGCAGCATTGGAGGTACGGCAGCATTGGAGGTACGGCAGTATCCGAGAAACTGCAAAGTTCTGCTCACTTTGCATCCCCCCTTGTCTACACCCCCTCCCCTCTGCCCTAATCCACGACCCCCCTGATCCACCCACCCTGAAAGCCCTCTCCCCCTGGATGACCAACGTTGCCTTTAGAGGCGTGATCCACTCCACTCCACTGCCACACGCCTCCTCGCCCCCACCCTTCTCCCCACCCCTATTCTCCCCACCTCCCTAACCCAGTCTGGAAGGAAGCCCTGCCCTGGATGAGCAATGGGGATTTCGTCCGCCGGGGCTTGGAGTTACCCACTGCTGGATTTCTTCTTGCTCCCACCCTTAGCCCACCCATTCACCTCCTCCTGCCAACCCCCCTAACCACTCTCCCCCCCCCCCCACCACCCCCATCCCTCCCTCCTCTTCCTTCCTCTCCCCCCCAACCAGTCTGGAGGCCCTCCCGTGGATGACCAACGAGGATTTCTTGCGCCTTCGCTCACAGCTCGGCTGCTTCGTACACCCCATTTGTTCCCCACCCCCCCTTTTCCTCTCCCCCTCCACCTCTTCTAGGCTGTGTCCCCCATTTGTTCCCCACCCCATTTGTTCCCCATACCAAGGCATTTCCCGTTTCCCTCTCAACCCCCTCTCTCCACAGCTCCCCTTTCCCCCCTCCTTTTTAAGTCTGGAAGCCCTCCCCTGGATGAACGATGAGGATTTCTTCCACCTGCGCTCCGAGCTCGACTGCTGCACCTTCCTTCACTCCCATTCTCCCCCCTCATCCCCACCCTTATTCTCTCTACTCTCCCCCCTTCCCCCCCCCCCAGTCTGGAAGCACTCCCCTGGATGAACGATGAGAATTTCTTCCGCTTGCGCCCACAGCTCAACTGTTTCGTACACCCCTTTCTTCCCCCTTCTCCCCCCCTCCCCTCCCCTCCTCGCCCCCCCCCCCCCCCCCCCCCCCATCTCCAGTCTGGAGGCCCTCCCCTGGATGAATGACGAGGATTTCTTCCGCCTGCGCTCGGAGCTCGACTTTCTCGGCATCACTCTGCCGCCCGGCTCGCCCTGGCACCACCTGCCCTGGAAGGACGAGCGCAAGGCCGCCGCCGCCTCTGCTGCTGCCGCTGCCGCCGCTGCCGCTGCTGCTGCTGGTGCCACGTCCAAGGGAGAGGGCTTCTAGGATGGTCCCTGCATAGCCTAAGGCATTTCCCGTCCCCTTTTCAACCCCCTCCCTCCCACACTCCCCCCCCCCCCCCCCCCTGGCCCCTCCCAGTCTGGAGGCCCTCCCCTGGATGAACGATGAGGATTTCTTCCGCCTGCGCTCGGAGCTCGACTTTCTCGGCATCACTCTGCCGCCCGGCTCGCCCTGGCACCACCTCCCCTGGAAGGACGAGCGCAAGGCCGCCGCCGCCTCCGCCGCTGCTGCCGCCGCCGCCGCCGCTTCCGGCATTCTCAACCCCGCTGCTGCCGCTCTCGCCGCTGGGTACACGTCTAGTTCGGATACGGAGGAGATTCGGGAGGTGCGCGGCGGGGCGGCGGCGGGGGGAGGGATGGCCGGAGGGCTGGCTGGAATGATGGGGGCGATGGTGGGCGGGGGAATGGGAGTCGGGGGAGGAGCAGGAGGCATGGGAGGCATGGGAGGAGCGGGAGCGGGAGCGGGAATGGGAGTGGGAACCGGAGTGGGAGGAAAGGGGTTTGGGACGGGAAGGGCGTCTCTGATAAGTGCGCGGTCGATGGTGCGGCGCAGTGTGGTGGTGGGGGGAGGGGGGCCTGAGGCCTCGCCGGGGGCTGGAGGCGGGATGGGAGCGGGAGGGGCGGCGGGAGGAGCGAAATCGCTGGTGGAGGAGGACAGGCTGGACGTGGTTTACCGGTGAGTGGGTGCGCTGGTAACCGGGTAACCATCTGCATGAGGTGTGCCAGTGAGTGAGTGGGTGACAGAGTGAGTGGGAATTTAGGCGCCTAAAGATTTGTCTCGCGTTTGAGGAGGGAAAATCGCTGGTGGAGGAAGACATTTGACCTGGTGTACCGGTGAGTGGGCGCGCTGGTAACAGGGTAATCAGCTGCATGTTGTCTATGTGTGAGCATGTGTGCGGGTAACAGGGTAACGAGCTGGACGTGCTGTAACATGTGAGTGGGTGGCAGGGTGAGTGGGTGGGCTGGTAACAGGGTAACAGGCTACACATGGGGGGTGTACCAGTGAGTTGGTCTGCTGGATAACAGGCTTCACCTAATCTACCCATGAGGGTGGAAGCCCACTGCTGCTGGGTAAGTGTGGAAACGTCCTGTAACGCTGTTACGCTGTAACATCCATCCAGCTTGGTGATATGGTAACAGGGGGCTGCACGGGCTATACCGATGAGTGGGATGGGAGGGATGAGCGAGTGAGGGGGGTTGGCTTGTTGCAATCACAGAAGGGCAATCACGCAATGTGGTCTTCGTTCACCTGTGGGTCGTGTTTTGAGTCGACTCAAAACACGGCTTGTTGCAATCACAGAAGGGCGATCACGCGATGTGGTGTTCGTTCACCTGTGAGAGTGGGAAAGTGATGAAGTTTTTATATATATATATATATCTCCACCCTCTTCTCTCCCCTCCCCGCTCTCCCTCTCCTTCTCCCTCCCACTACCTCTCCCTCTCGCCCACTCCAGGCACGGCAGCGACACGGCAGCGGCGTGCACGTGCTTTGGCACCAAGGAGGCGGACGGCCACTCGCACTGGGTGGTGTCTCTCTTCCACGGCCACGTCTTCTGCGCGTGAGTCGTGCTGCCCCTTCCTCCCTTGCGTGTGCGTAAATTACTGATTTAGTGTCCTCCCCTCACGGCCACTCGCACTGGGTGGTGTCTCTCTTCCACGGCCACGTCTTCTGCGCGTAAGCCTCCCCTTCCTCCTCTTGCCTTCACGCGAGCCTCCCTCGTCCTCTTGTGTGTGTGTGAGTCACCGTCCTTCACATGTGCATGAGAGTCGCTGGTCAAATGCCTCACAGCCACTCTCACGCACTGGGTGGTCTCGCTCTTTCACGGCCACGTCTTCTGCGCGTGAATTGTGCCCGTCCCCCCTCTCCCCTCTCTCCCCCACCCAACCCTCCCGCACCTCCCCTCCCTTTTCCTCTTCCTCTTGCTCTGGTGTGTGTGCGCAACCCCCTTCTTCTTGCTCTTCCTCTTCCTCTTGCTCCTCCTCTTCACCTTTCAACCTCTTTCTCCCCCAAACCCAACCCATCACTTTACCCCTTCCACCCATCCGCCCATCCGTTTCTGTGTCCGCTCCCCCACGTGGCATCCAAAGCTCTGCGTCGACGTCCTCCCCCGAGGCGCCTAAAAGACACACCACCCCACCCCACCACGAACCCATCAATCAACCCACTCTCCTCTCCCACCCCACCACCGATCAGCTTCTGTGGCCGTGCACCCACGTGGCATCCAAAGCTCTTCGCTGACGTCTTCCTGCTCGCCGCCCTTCCTCCCGCACCTACCCAGGTCAGTCACTCCCCTTCTCTCCCTCCCGCGCCAGGTCAGTCCCCTTCGCTCCCTCCTCTCCCTCCCCAAGTCACTCCCCTTCTCTCCCTCTTGCACTTACCCAGGTCAGTGACTCCCCTTCTCTCCCCCTCACACTTACCCAGGTCAGTCACTCCCCTTCTCTCCCCCTCACACTTACCCAGGTCAGTCACTCCCCTTCTCTCCCCCTCACACTTACCCAGGTCAGTCACTCCCCTTCTCTACCCTCCCCCCCACCCCATGTCCGCTTCAGTCCTCTCGCTCTTCCCCATCTATGGCTTGAGAGTGCCTCCCTTCGCCCCTTTGCTGCCCAGCTCACTCACGCTCTCCTGCCCCTCCCTCCCCCCTTTCCCCCTCCCCTTTCCTTTTTGTTTTCCTTCTCTTTGTTGCCAACACCAGTCTAACAGCCACATTGCCTTGCCCTCTCTCAAGTCCTTCCCCCGAATTGTTTTTTCTCCCTCTCGTTTCACCACCCACTGCAAACACAGCACCACCCACTGCACACACAACACCATCCACTGCACACACAACACCATCCATCACCCACCACCTACCACCAACCACCAGTGTGGAGCGAAGGCGTTTGTGGGCGGGTGGGTGGTGCTTCCATTCCACGGCCGCTCCAAGGCAATGTGGCTGTTAGACTGCTTCCACGGCCGCTCCAAGGCAATGTGGCTGTTAGACTGCTTCCACGGCCGCTCCAAGGCAATGTGGCTGTTAGACTGCTTCCACGGCCGCTCCAAGGCAATGTGGCTGTTAGACTGCTTCCACGGCCGCTCCAAGGCAATGTGGCTGTTAGACTGCTTCCACGGCCGCTCCAAGGCAATGTGGCTGTTAGACTGCTTCCACGGCCGCTCCAAGGCAATGTGGCTGTTAGACTGCTTCCACGGCCGCTCCCTTAAGCTCGTTTGCCTACTTCTCTCTGTTTCAACCCGCCCACCCACCACCCATACTACACCACCCACCACCACCCACCACCCATACTACCAGCGGGGAGCGAATGCATTCGTGGGGGGGTGGTACTACCACGGCCGCTCCAGCACTCGCCTGGTGAAGCTGCACTGCGTGGCCGGCGCCAGCTGCACCGCCTGCAGGTGAAAATCACAGACTTCAGGTGAATTCATTGGAGCTCAGGTAGATTTTGCCAGAGCTCAGGAGAAAACAACAGAGGGCATGTGAATGCCACAGAGCCGAGTCGGGGAGAGGAGAGATGAAATGGAGAGGATGGGTTTTCTCAACAGGGATGTAGCGGTAGTAGTCACCAGATGGGGTCCAGTCTCCAGATGAATTGTATGCTCAGACAGGATTCTCCAGGTGTTAGGGCGTGTTCCTACGCCTCGTATCAAGCTAACCTCATATCAGGCTCACACTGAAAATTCCCCTAAACCCAAAACCCTTTGCTAGTTTTACCAGGCAAGTCTGATATGAGGTTGCCTGATATGAGGCATAGGAATACGCCCTTACTTTTGAGAATTCTCAAAAGTAACTGTCTTACGGCTCGCCGTACGTGAGGTTTATGCATGCATGCATTGCGTTGTCAGGTTTCATGTGACACGCGCCTTGGTATGGTACCCCCTCTGTTGCACTTGAGGGTCCCAGGTTGTCCAGGTTTTAAGTTTTGGGTTCACATTTTCACAGTGAGAACATGCTTGCAAGCATCCCTCACATCAATGCATGCACTGCTCACACTCTCTGCACTCAAGCTGATCCATTTCCAATTATAGTCCCTCTCCTTCCTCTTGATTCTGTCTTCTGTTTGCATGCAGAGCTAGCGTGTGGGGAGTGAGCATCGAGCACAAGCATGCCTTCTGTCTACAGTGCAAAGCTACACCCACCAAGCCAGCTATCATTGCAAAACTCTTTGTGGAAGCTTTGTGTCAGCCTAAGTAGAATAAAGCACTGCCGCCCCGCATGAAATACTTACCCGGGGATTATCAATAGTTAGTGCATTTTTTTTGTGGCTCCCCGCTTCTAAACACAACCTTCCTGTCTGTAGCTATCCCAAATCTTTGTGATCCATGCGGGTAGCGGTTTTTTTTAGGTACATGCCTGTCATCTTAGAAATCGCAAGCGTTTTCATGCTTATCTATGGATGAAAGTATTTAAACAACGTCACAAAAGCAAATCATTCTACGAATTTGATAGGTCCGAATCATACAGTCGATCGAATATTGAATCTGGCTTATCGAGTATCGACGGCTTTCGTTGTACCCGTAGCCGCCCGTTGCTGCACTCTCCCATCACCTCGAGATTATCGCCATGGCTTCGCTCGGTTCGTCGCTGCACGCGCGGCCGATCTGATTACTCTCACCACATGATTACCGCGATTGCCGCATGGCTTTTTGCACGCGACGATGCCTTCGCGAAAAGGTTTCGCGAAAGGCTTTAAAACCGTCGCACGCGTCGCCGACCAGCCTCCCTCCACTAGCGCATCAGATGAGGTAACCGTGCAACACATTGCGAATAATATTTTCTGTCGCAGCTGCGAAGGCCCTTATATTGCCCCACAATGTCATCCGTGCTCGGTCGGCGCGTTTGGCAGCAAAACTGCTCGGCGCTCTTGGCAGCAAGACTGCTCGGCGCGCTTGCCATTCCCCTCAAACGTTCTTCCCCCTCCCACTCGCAACCACCTCCTCCGCCCTCCTTTCCCGCCACCTCTCCCCTCTCCTTTCTCCCCTCTCCCCTCCCCCATTTCCACACCCCCCCTTCCCACACCCCATCCCTCCCTTCTGCATCCGTGTCAGCACCGCACGTTTCTGGAGCCGCAAGTTTGCTACATGGGCAACCCTCAGTATCCCACCCTTCCCTTCTGCCTTCCCCTCCCCCTCTCCCCCCCCTTCCCCTCCTTCCCCCTCCCCATTACCCCGGCCTCCCCTTCTCCCCCCCCTGTCTGCAGCGCGTCTCCCTGGAGCCGTCTTTTGACTACATGGGCAACCATCCAACAACATCCCCCCTCTCCCTTCTTCGTCCCCCTCCCCATCCCGCAACACCCTTCCCCCCGTCTCCCCCACTCCCCTCCCCCAGCGCGTCTCCCTGGAGCCGTCTTTCGACTACATGGGCAACCATCCAACCCTCAGCATCCCCCCCCTCCCTTCTGCGCCTCCCCTCCCCCCCCCTTCCCCCTCTCTCCCCCCCAGCGCGTCTCCCTGGAGCCGTCTTTCTGCTACATGGGCAACCAAGAAAGAGGGTGTGACTACATGGGTGTGACTACATGGGTGTGACTACATGGGTGTGACTACATGGGTGTGATGTGACTGTAATTGTGAGGCATCTCAAGAGTCTACGCCCCTCCCCCACACCACATTCACCGGGACAGCTTCCTCTCCGCCTTTGACCCCATTGCTACCGATGATGATTACGACTACAACCGTAAGTGACTATTGTAGAAGCATACTTGACTTGTGAGACATCTCAAGAGTCTTCACCCCTCCCCCCCCCACACCACATTCACCGGGACAGCTTCTTCTCTGCCTTTGACCTCATAGCTGCCGATGATGATTACGACTGTAACCGCAAGTGACTAGAAAATGACCATCACTATACTTGACTTTTGAGACATCTTAAAATCTTCTCTGCCTTTGACCCCATAGCTACCGATAATGGTTACGACTATAACCGTAAGTAGCTGTGACCATAAGTGGCTATGACCATCGGTGATTATTATCGTAAGTGGCCGGTAAGCGGCGAGCAGAAGTGGTTGTTACTGTAAGTGATTGTAACTGATTAGAACATCAGTGATTCCTAAACACAAGTGAACCATGACCATAACCATGAGAACCATGATCGCACTTGCAAGTGACTAAACAACCGATTGTAGGAAGTATTCATTGCCATGTTCCTCACTCTCCTCCTCTTTTTGCTCCCTCTGTTCTCCCATCCCCTCCCCCACACCAGCTGGTGACTCTCCTCCAGACCCCTTTGTGGATGGGGCGCTGGTGCCGGCACAGCTGTTGTACCTGCTCCTTCTCTCTAACCCCCCAATGATCTCCCCCACCACACTTCTCACTCCCCTTGTCTCCTCACCCCCTTTATCTCCCCCAATGATCTCCCCCTCCTCGCCCCCACACCAGCTGGTGACTCTCCTCCGGACCCCTTTGTCGATGGGGCGCTGGTGGCGGCACTGCGCTGCCGGCCACGTGGACCAATGGCGACGTGCCAGCAGTCCCCTCCGAGGAGCTGCGGGCCGTGCGCTGGCTGCAGCAGCGGTGCCGAGCTGGGGCGTTCCCCACAACCTTAGGGGAGGACGAAGCAGTATTGGTTGAGTTGGTTCTGAATTTTGTTTTTTTTACAGGGCAGCCTGAGTAGTTCTGTGCCTGAGTCACGAAAAGGGGGTTGCATGACAGTCTTAGGGAGGTTTGGCATCACGGGAAGGGGGTATGAAGAAGACGGGCTACGAAGTGGGGAGCGGGATGGTGCAATCAGCTCCATTCCATGTTTCAGCTCTCCTCCTCGCAGTGTGTTCTCCCTTATCCATGCCTGTCCTCCCATCATCCCTCCATCCTCCGTTCCTCCCATCGCATTGTCAGAGGGGACAAAGGTTCAGTTTACACGATGGCTGGCTTCTGTCTCCTCACTGCTCTCCCATCCTTCCTCTCCCTTCTGCCTCACTTTCCTCGCCACCTGCCCTGGTGAACTGTTATGAGCAGAGTCAGAGGGTACAGAGGACAAATCAGCACGGTGGTGGGCTGCTATCAAGTATGTACACTCAAATTTAATGCATAAACGTGCACTGCTGCTTTAGCAAAATCCGTACACACTTGAACCATCTGCTTTGCATACTTTCCTTTTCCAGTCTTTGCATGCAGCTTGGTTTTTTCCTTCAATTTGCCTACATGCAGGTACCGCATGGATTGGAAGAAGTTTCTGGTGAAAATCATTGACGCTTAAGATATTTACCTGGACAGGCATGTCCTCTGAACATAATCACCCGGCTGTTGAGAGTTTCTAGACTGTCTCTGTTACGGTAGCGTATGCAGTGCAGAGTGGTTATCTATTCCCAGTGTCTTGCACCACAAAACTGCATAACTGAGAAGTATTATCAGAATAACTGAGCAGCTCACCCAAAGTTTCTGAAGCTTGGGGTTCCATGCATCAGCATACCACAGCTTTTATTCAACATGTTTGAAAGATCATATCATATTTCAACAATGACACGTTCCTTATTGTCAGATGGAGTAAATCTACAACTAGTGGCCATGCTATCCACTGCACCAACCAAGTTGACAAGATTGGGAAGAACTTCAAGTAAATTCAGCAGGCCCTGCAGTAAAGAAAGAGCAGCTGGAACAGTGTCACTGTCCAAGGCTGAAGCACTTGCTACTGTCGGAGGGAGAAAACGTTCGGACCTGTGCAAACACCTGGCCTGCCGCAGATACTCCCTGCAAAGGACAGAAATGTAGATTGAATATGTTAATACAAGAGATGGCAGACAATTCCGACTTTGACGGAGACTGGAATGGTGAGGAGGCGGGGAGATAGAAATTCCATGCACATCAGAGAGAAGCGAAACATCTAGTGAAGCAGTAAGCCAGGGATATGAAATAAAAGAGGAAGCGCTTGGGAGTACGGTAAGAGGGAGTGAGAGAGGATGTCACGGTGGACGGTGAGAGATTGCACAGATGAAGATTGGGTTGAAAAGGAGGCATTGAATGGACAGCACACGTGCGTTCCTTACATGCGAATATCAAAGCGTGGAGAGAGTAAACTGTCCAGCAGCTTGAATTCTGTACTCCCTGCAGTTGGGCTCATGACGCTTATGTCTGAGCAAGAGCATGAAGAGACAAACGCGCTTTCAGCTACCGCTGCTGACTTGAGATGTACACACTGCTGCAAGCTGTGTAGAGCTTTCTCCTTCAATAAGTCGTTCTGGGAGTGCAGAAAAGCCAGTGCTGGTCTTCCTTCCCAAATAAAACTTTCCATGGATGCAGCTAGCATCATAACGACTCTGTACAGAAATAAAATATTGAGGTGATATGATGGCAAGGCAAGTACTGATTGATACTGTGCTTTTCAGATTCTTGCATGGACATACCTTGAACACGCATGCAGCAAGTTCCTCATCTCCACACCCATATCCTGCCTCAGTGAGGCATTGCCTTGAAAAGCAGCACGAATACTTGACTTTATGGTGATAACAGCGAGAGCAAAGTTCTGAAGGCTGGTCAGAACTTCACAATAAGCCTTCCAAGGGTACCCATGAAAGAACTTTCCGTGTGGTGGTTCAAATTGGATAGCTGATAGCTGAAAGGCAAAACCACATGTCAGACTATGCCAGAATGTGCGGATAGATTGCGTTCAGGAGATGATGATTATTTACATGCTTGTCTACTTCAGCTTGACAAAAAAGGATGTTGCTGCAAGCCTCCAATGCACTGTCTGTAGGAGTGTCTTCCAAAACGCAGCAGTCCCCACACCTGAGATAAGGATTGCGTCAGTCAGCCTAGATAATAGTGAGCTAGAATTAGCAGCAAAACAACAGCTCATACCTGTCCAGCTCGGCTGCAACTAATTTCAGTCTACTGACAAGAAGGTTGTGAAGGAGGTCTCCAGAATATGCTGGCAGAATGAAGATGTGCACCAGTCCCACACTTGTGAATCCCAGCATGATCATCACCAGTCGTGCCAAGGGATAATAGAATTTGTCCTCATGACGGTAACCAGATAATATCAAGATGTGGAAGGTGAGAGACATCATGAGAAAGGAATAACTCCACCTGCACCAAGCCACTGTCAGATCACTGACTCACAACAAACAACTAGACTTAAACCGAGCAGAAGGCCTTACGTATCCTTGAACGGCGGCCGATATCTGTAGTAAGTCGGAATGACACTACCCAAAAAAACAATTACGGCCAGGAAAAGAGGCTTCACATCCCCAAGGTGAGGTGTGGCGTGGTTGACACCAAATGCGAGAACTGCTGCCAAGAGGGTGCCAGCCGTTCTGTTGATGCCTTTCCTGCACAGCCCAGAAAAAGTTATCAGTCAGAGTGAAGACCCGCCGGAAAACGGAGATCTAAGCGTGAAGTTTCATTACCCTAGTGAAGATCCGACAGTGGGCTCGAACACGAGGTCCACTGTCACCACAGCCCATATTCCAATCTCTGATAGGTCTGGAATGGGGTCTTCAAGAACGCAAACCACGGCGGCTAGTGTAGCTGCTAGTCCGGATTTGACTGCCAGAGAGACCAGCTTCGGATTAGCTCTGATGTCGGCGATCTGACGAGCTCCAAGGGACCACAAACGTGTGGCAGGCCATAGGAGGCACGAAACGATGTAGTTCAGTGAATGCATTGCTGAAGCCATCTCGGATGATTTCCAAGTTTGCTGGATTCGTGAAGCTTATTATGTTGACGGCCAGTTGTGCTCATTCCGTGTGGAAAAGTACAACGCGTCAAACAGGGAAATTACGAAGCTTCTGGCGTTTGTATTTGGTCTTCGCAGATTACCACGAATTCTCGGCCACAGAATCAACATGGTGTGGAGACGTGGACATCACTGCCAGGTTGAAGATGCAAACACCTTCCTCGTGGAACGCCTTGACGACCGTTCTTTGCTTAATGAAGCGCACCGTAACAAACTAACCCTGTGGGATCCAGTGCATCTGCCCTCATACATGTTGAGCGACACGATCGCGGCCTAGGTGGTAGCGACCGCCTCCCTCCCAAGTCTGGGGGTTCCTTGAGCGCATCAATTGAGAACCCCATAAGCACATGGCGCGCCGTTGACTAACAGAAAACGAGCGGGAAGAATACCAGCCTCGAAAACATCCGCAAGGAAAAGCAGCACGGTTTTGCATGTTCAATTGAGCACGTAAGGCTGGAAACAAACTTATTTATTTAATAAGGCCTACAGAGCAGGACCAGTAGCACAATCCAACCAATCTTCCTACGATTCGCGGGCCCAATGTCTGCCTGGTCCTTTTGTTTCCTGCGCCTTTCCTAAACCTCTCAAATTTTTGTTTCCAAGTTCAAGAACCAGGCCGAGGAGTGAGCCCCACTTTCCCTCACATACCTCACTCCTCCACTTAGCTTCTCCCTGCCCGTCGCCCCACTTTCCCTTGCATGCCGCCCTCGCTTCCCCTCCCATCGCCTCCGCGTCGCCCAGACTTCCTCTGTTGTCGTCCTCGCTTTCGCTGCCCGTCGTCCCTCCCCATCACCCTCGCGTCTCCTGCTATCGGCCACGCTAGGTCCAACCTTTGCCTTCCCCGTCGCCCTTGTCTCCCCTGGCCGTCGCCCTATTTACCCAGGCTGTCGCTCTCACTTCCCCTCCCGTTGCCTTCCCCGTCGGTATCGCTTTCCGCCCCCTCGCCCGCGCGTCGCCTTGCCGTCACCCTGCTCGTCGCCCGCAATTCCACTCGTCGCCCGCAATTCCCCCCGCCGCCCGCGATTCCCCACGCCGCCCGCGCTTCCCCTCGTCGCCCGCGATTCCTTTCGTCGCCCTCTATTCCCCTCGTCGCCCGCGATTCCCCTCGTCGCCCGCTATTCCCCTTGTCGCCCTCGCTTTCCCCCGTCGCCCGCGCTTCCCCCCGTCGCGCGCGCTTCCCCCCGTCGCCCGCGCTTCCTCTCGTCGCCATCGCTTCCCCTCTTCGCCCGCCTTCCCCACCGCACCACCCGCCTTCAACCCCACACCAGAACCACATGTGCTCCTGAGATACCGAATGTAAGCCATAGACCATTAGGACATATAATATCCAAATAGTCGCATTGTCTATCCATTCAGTCACAGTTCACCGTACCAGTCTCCGAATACCAGTAAAACGCCAGAAGTTCCGATAGGAGTTGATGAACCGATATTGCAGGAACAGGTGCTAGCGAGGGAAGACTGGTGGGCGTTGCGAGACTCCTTGGATGCGATGAGTCCGATGAGCGCGTTTTGAGCCATTCCTAGGCTGGACGAGTGCGGAGATGATTAAAGACGGGGAAAGCCCGAAGTTAGCTGCCGGAGCGATGAGAGAAGGGGTTTCAGTAGAATCAAGGAACGGATTACAAGCATCTCAGCCAGCCGGGAATGGCCGGCGAAAGGAGTGGAATCGTCCCGAGGCCATCGCAGGAGCTGTTGCAGGCATGGCGACCGTCGCGATTCTCCACCCCCTTGACATCGTGCGAACCAGGTTTCAAGGTTGGTAATCAACGTCCTACAGCACACCCTAGCTCTCTCACCGTCCTTTATCCTCCCACTTCCCTCATTCCTCCCTCTCTCTGTCTCCCGCCTATGTCCTCCCATCACCCCCTCCCGTCCCCGCGCGTCCCTCCGTGCAGTGAATGACGGGAGGGATCCTGCAATTCCTCGCTATCGTGGCGTCGTCAGTGCCATCACCACCATCTCTAGATCCGAGGTATAGATTTGATTAGAATGTCATGATGTTCCCTCCTGCATGTGTCATCAGTGGCATCACCACTATCTCTAGATCCGGTGTATACATTCGAACTTACATGCTACACACGTGATCTCTACCGCATGCATGTGCCGCGCTTTGTGCATCTGAGGTTCAGTTCTGAAGGGCCTGTTTTAGGGTTTATGCAAAAACTCTTCTTTCTCCCTTCCCTTGCGTTCGCCTCCCCTCACCTCCCCATCAGGGCATGCGAGGCCTGTATGCGGGCCTATACCCATCCATGGTTGGCTCCTCCCTCTCCTGGGCTCTCTACTTCTTCCTGTCAGTGCTTGGCGTTCATGCCTCGACCTACTCTATTGCCTACCCTTTCCAATGTCTCGCCACTCTTGTCCTAACATTGTTCCTTTATTATTTCTTTCTTTCCATTGGCGTTTCCCCCCACCTGATCCTTTCCAGCTTCCCCGCTTGCTGCTTCCGACCCCTCCCTTTCTTCTTCTCTCTTGCTCCCTCCTCACCACTCCAATTCCTTACACCTGCCGTGTACCCCCCACCACCTTTCTTCGTTTAACTCCAAATGATTTCCTCTGTTCTTCACTCTTTCATTGTTGTACAGGTACAGCCATGCCAAAGAGGACTTTTGAGGCGCCTCAAAATTTCCTCTGTTCTCCACTCCTTCATTGTTGTACAGGTACAGCCATGCCAAAGAGCGGTACACGGCTTACTTTAGTGCTCTGACGAGCACCGCTAGCAGCAACAGTGACAGACGATGTGGAAGCAGTAGCAGCAAGAGTGACAGGAGGCACAATGGCAGCAGCAGCAGTAGCAGCAGCGGCAGCAGCAATTGGCCTAGCACAGAGAAGAACAGCCCGGTCGTTTCAATGGAAAGGCTTTCAGAACAAGTTGGCGCCTCCACCATTGCTGCTCATGGTGCTGCTGGTGATGGCAGTGGCGATAGTCGCAATTGCGGGGAGGACAGATTAAGTGAGGGTTCAACTTCAAGCTCCACCATTGCTGCTCATGGTGCTTCAGGAGAAGGAGAATTGTCGATCCAAGGCGGCGCTACTGGAGGGAAACAAGGCGGTAGAGCCAGTTTGGAATCAGATGCTGCTGCTGCTGTTGGAGTGGGGGTTCAAAGGAGTGGCTCTCCTCCTGGGGTGGGAGTCGGACTGATGCAGTGCACACGGGCGGTGGGGATAAGGGTAGGAGTGACTGCAGAGAACAAGGAGTAGTTGTACGAGACGAGATAGAGCCACGCAGCAACGAAAGCAGCAAGAGCAGTGGAGGGGTGGAGGTGGAGAGAAGGAGTGATAAGAGCTGGAGCTCAACATTGGTGAATCTGGCTGCTGCCACCGAGACTGGCATTCTGGTATGCGTTTCCTGGGCTTGTCTTGCTTTTCTCGCAGTTTGAGTTCATGTTGTGTGATTTGTATCTCGGGTTGTGCTTTAAGGTGCTTCTTCTCATATTCCTACAGCAGCTGTCATCTCAGACAAGAGCGTAGTGATGCCTATATCGCAAGCATGAATCAGAAACAGGCAATCGTTCCCCTCTGTCGCCACACGATCCGTTTCTTATTGCTCATGCCTCTCAAGTTCCAACCTTACTTACACTCATCATTTGTCTCCCTGCATCGCTCCCCCTTCGCCCCTCTACCCCACCCCTCTCACACTTTCTCCCTAAATCCTTAACAGGTGGTGCTCCTGACCAACCCCATCGGGCTCGCCAAGACGCGTCTACAGCTGCAGGGAGCCGTGGATCCCAAGGGACCTCACCATGCTGCACCCGCCAGTGCTGCCACTGCTACCATAGCTTACCACTCCTTTCCCTTTCTCCCCTCCTGATCAGCTCCTGACCAACCCCATCTGGCTCGCCAAGACGCGTCTGCAGCTGCAGGGAGCCGTGGACCCCAAGGGACCTCACCACGCAGCACCCCCCAGTGTCGCCAGTGCTACCATAGCTTACCACTCCTCTCCCTTTCTCCCCTCCTGATCAGGTCGTGCTCCTGACCAACCCCATCTGGCTCGCCAAGACGCGTCTGCAGCTGCAGGGAGCCGTGGATCCCAAGGGACCACCACACCACGCAGCACCCCCCAGTGCTGCCAGTTCGACCAGTGCTGCTAGCACACAGCAAGCCTTACCACCGGGTGCAGCAGCATCAAGGCCGACAGCACCAGCCGTACCCCTTCGCCCTAGGCAATACCGAGGCTTTCATGGTGCTTCATGGTGACAAGCCCTCCTCCCTGCTCTCTTATGTTTCACTTCTTGTTCCGTACCCTCCCTGCCTCCCCCCCTACACCTCCCCGCCCCGGCCTTCCCCGTCCTCCCCCTCTTGTTGCTTCGCTCTCTTTGATGGTGCCTATTGGTGTCACACCACCCTTTCTGCGCCTCTGATATTTTCCCTTGCGTCTGCGTTTCTGCGTCTCTGATGTTTTGTCACTCTCCCATTGTTCCCTTGCTCGGTCGCCCTCACTATCCATCGTTCGCACTCACTCACACACTCTTCTCCTTTCCCCTCCTCCTCCCGCCCCCTTCCTAGTGGCAACAATTCGTTCTGTCGAGTCTTCTTTATTGCTGTAATTTTTTTTCCTCCTCAGCATCATCCACGCATGCTTCCTTAGTTTCATTCAGCTTTCTGATCCCCTTTTTCTTACGTCCGCCCTTCAAATCTGACCCCTTCTTCCATACTCTCGGATCCTTTTTGCATAATGAGAAGGGTCTGTAATCATCTGAAGGACGCCTCGCGTTTCTAGCTCTCTCCCCCTCGTCTCTCCACCTGTCATCTGCTCATGCATCCAGGGCGAACGAGGGCAAGAGAGTACTCTACTCTACAGGGGCTTAGACCCAAGTCTCACCTTTTCCCTTTCTCCCATCTTCTCCACAGCCATACTTGGTCATATGGTCTTCCCTACCGAGACGTAGGCCAGGCCCACTCTCCTCCTTCCACAAAAGACTCCCTGTCTCCCATTGTCTCCTCTTTCCTCCCGTTCTCTCCCGTTCTCTTCCATCGACCTCTCACCAGACGCCATCTGGTCTATTGTGAAGGAGGAGGGCGTTAGAGGGCTGTACAGAGGCATCGGTCCAAGCCTTGTCTTGGTAAGGCATAGGCCCGAGCTTCATCTTGGTAAGGCATAGGCCCGAGCTTCATCTTGGTAAGGCATAGGCCCGAGCTTCATCTGGTTAAGGCATAGGCCCGAGCTTCATCTTGGTAAGGCATAGGCCCGAGCCACATCTTGGTAAGGCTCAGGCCCGAGCCTATCTTAGTATGGGGTTATCCCGAGCCTTGTCTTGGTATGGCTTAGGCGTGAGTCTGATCTTGGTATTGCATAGGCTGGAGCTGTACCTTACCATTGCTTAGGTCCGAACCTCATTTCTGGTAAGCCGTTCATCCATGTTACACCTTACCTGCCAGTCTTCCATCTGCGATCCCTCACTACCCCTCCCTCTCTACCGATGCATATTTCCCCTGTACCCCTCTGCACCTCTCTGTCGTGCTCCCTGTCACAGGTGTCGCACGGGGCCATTCAGATGGCAGCGTATGAGGAGCTGAATCAGCTCATGCTGGCTCTCAGATCGCCCACAGCGTGGCCACCACACGCTCCCACCCTTCCAACTACACCCGCATACCCCCCTGTACCCCTCTGTACCGCTCTTTCATCCTTGTTTATGCAGGTGTCGCACGGGGCCATTCAGATGGCGGCGTATGAGGAGCTGAAGCAGCTCATGCTGGCTCTCAGATCGCCCACAGCGTGGACAGCACACTCACCCTCTCACCCCCACACCTCCTCTTCCCCCTCGCCTGCAATTCCTGCTGTAACAGAGCTGGTCAGTACATTCGCACGATTTCCACAGTAACCGTCACTTCCCTGCAAAATCAGTTGTGCTAAACAATTACGTCTTCAGGAGAAAAAAATATATATATATATATGTATATATATATATGTATATATATTAAATCAACATCGTCACACTGCTTCTCCCAGTCCTGTCTTGCCCTTCAACTCTCTTCCACTCCACCCAAGCCCCACCCGTCCCTGTTTTCCCTCCAATCCTTTCCCTCCACCCACCCCGGCTATCTCTTTCATTCTCCCACAGTCCCCATGGGACATTGCAGCAGTGGGAGCAACTGCCAAGCTCTGTGCTGCCTCTGCCACCTACCCTTACCAGGTACGGCACCCGTTGACTCGTCTCATTGCCCCTATCACCAGTTATGGCACCCGCTGACTTGTCAGAACTGGGTGGGTCTTCTGGATAGGTCGTAAGAACTGGGTGGGTCTTCTGGATAGGTCGTAAGAACTGGGTGGGTCTTCTGGATAGGTCGTAATTCGACTTATCTCGACTGCAAAGTGCAGGACCAAACTTTGCATTGCTCTTCCCCATCCCCTTCTGTGAGACAAGCCGGGCCCCAGTTTCATCTTTCTCTCAATATCTTTCAGTCCAAATATTGTGTGTGTGTGTGTGTGTGTGTGTGTGTGTGTGTGTGTGTGTGTGTGTGCACGCGCACGCGTGTGTGTACTGATTTCCATTCGTCCCGCTGCTTGCTGTTCCTGGCATCTCATTTACCATGCTTGTCCATTCTTCCCTGCTTGTTTATGCCTCCCTCCCCGCTTGGCTCCTCCCACTCACGCCAGGTGGTTCGAGCTCGCCTGCAGGTACTCACCTTATCCTCCTTTCATCATCCATCTGCCTTCGCTCTTCCCTTGACCCCCCCCCTTGCCCTGCTTCCCCCTACCCACTCCGCACGCTTCGTTTTTCCCTGCTTGCTTGTTAAACCCTCATCTCTTCGCCTGGTTTTCCTTTCCTTCCTCGCTCCCTTCACTTCCTGCCGTCCCTTTATCTCCCTCCCCCACTCGCATCCAGCCTCCACGCTCGCCCTCGTATCCCTCACGTTGCCATATTACCAACTCTCTCCCTCCCATCCCCTCTGTCAAGAATCGGCTTGGCCACGCCTTTTGCTATGCCATCTTTTGAGGTGTGACTTTTGAGAATTCTCTTGAGAATTTTGAGAATTCTCTTGAGAATTTTGAGAATTCTCAAAAGCCATCCCCTCTCTCAAGAATTGGCTTGGCCATGCCTTTTTCAATGCCATCTTTTGAGGTGTGACTTTTGAGAATTCTCTTGAGAATTTTGAGAATTCTCAAAAGCCATCCCCTCTCTCAAGAATTGGCTTGGCCATGCCTTTTTCAATGCCATCTTTTGAGGTGCCTCAGAAGTTGTCTCAAAAGCTTGGCCACTCCTTTTTCTAAGCCATCTTCCTTCTTGCGTCAGTCAGGTCTTGCTTTCTCCCTGCCTTATTCTGGTGTAACATTCACCCACTTACGTACCCACCTGGATTTCACACGCGCATGGTCCTGGTCAAATCCGCCCTTTCTTTGTTCCGACGGCTTGGTTATGTTTGAGTCGACTCAAAATCTTCACTCATGGGTGGTCCTGGTCACATGTTCGTTCACCCACTTACGTAACCTCCTGGGATTCACATGCGCATGGTGCTGGTCCTGTTCCGAGTCGGGACAGCTTGGTGGTGTTTGAGTCGACTAAAAAAACTCACACGTGGGTGGTCCTGGTCAAATGCTTTTCTTTGGCCCGACAGCTTGGAGTTAGCTTTCTCATGGTGCTTCCAAGCGCTCTTGCAATACCCATTCTCCACAATGACCCCGTGAATTCAGATGCGTCCAGACGAGGCCGGCCAGCTCAAGTACCGCAACACACGGCATGCCGTCACCAGCATGTGGAGGTGAGTTGCAGCAATCCTCTATCTACACATGTGATCAGGAACTGACACTTGGCCAGGGGGCATGCTTTTTGAGGCGCCTCAACCGTAGCTGCACATGTGATCAGGAACTAACATGTGGTCATGAGGAGCCATGGTGTTGGATGAGAACTAACTTCAGTTCTCTGTCACCATGCCCCCCTCTCTCCACCATCTCGTATATAGGGTGTGAATTGCTGCTTTTGTTTAACCTTATGCAAGCCATGCTCTCATGCAACACCCCGTACACTCTTTCATGTTGCTTCGCCGTTCATCCCTCTCCCTGTTTCTGGCTTACACCCTTTGTCTTCCCCAGGCCCGAGGGTGCACATGGTTTTAAAGATTTCGCACAAGGGCTTTCTGCCAACCTGCTGCGGCAACTGAGACGCTTCAACAATGTATTCTCGGCTTTGCCTTTCTCCCGTGCTCTTCTGCAGGCTCGAGGGCGCACATGGTTTCTATAAGGGCTTTCTGCCCAACCTGCTGCGGCAACTGAAATGCTTCCAATTATTGTTCTCTGTTATGCTTCCAATTATTGTTCTCTGTTTTGCCTTCTCCCTTGCTCTTTTCCAGGCTCGAGGGTGCACGTGGTTTCTACAAGGGCTTTCTGCCCAACCTGCTGCGAGTCATGCCCTCGGCATCCATCACCTTTGCTGTCTATGAAGTGATGCTGCGATTCCTCAAGCCTCACCCCCTTGCTCCTCCACAAGCTCACTTCTGAGTCGAGCCAAGAGTCACCTGCTGGGAGCCATGCCCGTTGCTCCACCACAAGCTAACTTGAAATTCACCTACTGCGTGTCATGATTCATGACCTTGCCCTGCGTCCATCCATCGCCATTGCGCTGTCGATGCAATGACTCCGCGATTGTTAAAGAGAGAGGAGCATGTTAGTGCAGATGCAGCATGCATCACCGTACCAGGGGAAGTGCTACTATTACCGTATATCCGTTCATCTTGTACTCATGGTTGCACCAATCACTAATCATAACAGGTGTGCACAAGGCAGCATTCTGTACAGTGGATTAGGGTTGTGCAAGGATTTTGAAACAAGCAAGAAACTTTCTTAGAAGATGGTCCAACGAACTTAAAGCATTTCGTTTTCTAATACCGTACATAGAAGAAAGTGTAGCTGTGCCGTCATTTGAAAAAAGTTCGCCCTGCAGATGCGATCATTTACAATGTGCAGGGACCAGAATCTAGGCTGGCCAGGCTCAGGGTTCTGGTCTAAAATCCAAATACCTCGCGCCATTTGGTGCGCCTGACGATTAATTGTATGTAGCCTCGGTCTGCGCATCCGTGTCCTGAATAAGTGCGCATTAGTGTCCTAAAGGCGTCAGGACGGCTACAGAGTTGGCCGAAGTAGCCTCTTTGAGCGGTCATCATGGGTTCGTCAGCCATTTCGCTCGCAACCGCTACCAGCAGAAGCGTCTTAAAAGCAGCTCCGCGCACAATGCATCAACCTCCACTGTCCGTTCGACCTTCGGTATCGCATATTATCCACTGCAGTGCTTCAGACAGCCAAGCTACTAGCGCGAGACAGAGTGAGCTATCTCGCTAGTCCCTCTCAGCGTCTACCATTCTCCCTTCCAGTGCTCCTTGTTTCCAGCTTCCATCTGCCTTGCATTTTAACGGTTTCTTCAGTTGATCATGTTCGACAGCCTGTCAGTCTGTCCCATGTCCTTCTGAATCCCGCTCTTCCCATCGCGTTCTTTCTCCGGTTTCTTTCAAATCTTCTCCGTCCCTCCTTGATCCCCCCATGATTGCTGCAGCTGTTAAATTCCGGCCGTGCATCGACATTCACAAGGTACGAACGTGGCATTGCCATTCATAAGGTACAAATGTGTCATTGACATTCAGAAGGTACAAATGTGTCATTGACATTCACAAGGTACAAATGTGTCATTGACATTCAGAAGGTACAAATGTGTCATTGACATTCACAAGGTACAAATGTGTCATTGACATTCACAAGGTACAAATGTGTCATTGACATTCACAAGGTACAAATGTGTCATTGACATTCACAAGGTACAAATGTGTCATTGACATTCACAAGGTACAAATGTGTCATTGACATTCACAAGGTACAAATGTGTCATTGACATTCACAAGGTACAAATGTGTCATTGACATTCACAAGGTACAAATGTGTCATTGACATTCACAAGGTACAAGTGTGTCATTGACATTCACAAGGTACAAATGTGTCATTGACATTCACAAGGTACAAATGTGTCATTGACATTCACAAGGTACAAATGTGTCATTGACATTCAGAAGGTACAAATGTGTCATTGGCATTCACAAGGTACGAATGTGTCATTGATATTCAGAAGGTATCCACGTGGCAGAAGGCATTCAAACACAGCATCAGGCAGGAAACTTGCACAAAAAGGGACGCACGCGCTGGCGTGTGGGATGAATGCCATGTCATACATTGTCATTCCCTGAACACAAAGATACCATGCCATGGTGTATTTCAATCATCAAGTGGCGCCATTCCTGTTTCGTCCTGCCATCAGAAGCGACTGCCTATGAATAACTTTAAAGAACTTCATTATAGCCCAGAAGTATATTGAGTTTGTCACTTTCCCTCCTGAAGATCTTCTTCACAGCATCATCTTCAACATTGCAACGCCAAGTGCAATGCTCACAGAAACCCTTCTTTTTCCACTACCTTCAAACCATGCAGGGCAAGGTGAAGCAGATCGTCGGCTCCACACTCCGCGACCTTCCCTCCCAAGACTCGCCAGCCACAGACTCCTCTTCTTCCTCCTCCTCATCCGAGCCTGTGACCAACTTTGAGTCGGATCGCAGCGCTGCGGAGTATGCCAGCATGTACGCCGGTGATTCGCTGCCAGGAGGCCACGTCATCATGCTGGGGGCCGATCCAGCCAGTCAGGCGGCAGCTCTTGGGGCGCTGAACGCATTCCCAGGTACCACAAGAAATCCGTGGTTATACTTGTGTGTGTGTGTGTGTGTGTGTTTTTTTTTTTTTTTTCAGAAACTGGTTGTTAGTTACCGTCAATGGGGCGTGCCATGTACCTATCTAACAAAAAACGTTTGTTGGATGCGTGCAGCGTACTTATCCCTCCTTCCCCTCCCATCCGTTCTTCCTTCCTCCCTTATCCTCCGGCTTTGTATGAAACCCATCGGTGTCTCTGTCCTGCATATGCAGGTGGGCTGCACGTTGGTGGAGGCATTACTCCAGAGAATGCCGGGATGTACCTGGACGCAGGGGCCAGCCACGTCATTGTCACCTCGGTATGGCATCATCACTGTAGTCTGTATCGTATGGCAGCTCACTCACTACCATGCCATGCCATGCTATCACATCATTCTTATTCATACACAAACTCCTTCATAATCGCTTTCCTGCTGTACTCATGTCGGAATAAGAGAAGCTAATCAGTCGGCTCTCTTCTGCGAGCCTTGTGTTTTGACATCTTGTCGAACCTCTGGAATATACTCTTCCCGTCCTTCTCTTCTGCGTGTCTGGCAGTATGTGTTTCGGGAGGGAGCGGTGGATGAGGAGCGGCTGCGCAGGATGGTGAATGCCGTGGCGCCCGAGAGACTGGTGCTTGATCTGAGCTCCAGAAAGAAGGTGGGGAATAGTCTTGTGCTGAACCTTGTCGCCCTGTTACCCTCCACCTCCCCCCACCTCCCTCCACCTTCCTCCACCTCTCTCGGCCTCTTCTCTTCCATCTCTACTTGGTGAAGGACCAGTGGCAGCGCTTCACATCGCTGGTAGCCTGTATATTTTACCCTCGAGCTCACCCTCTCTCTCCCCACATTCATGCACGCCTCACATACAAGGCGAACACTAGTACATGGTGACGGACGGCTGGCAGTGCTTCAAATCCCCAGTGACTGCTTGGTGTTCTCCACACATGCTCCCACGCACCCCACCCTCACACACCACACCCGCAGGGCGAGCATTACCACGTGGTGACGCCCTGCTGGCAGCGCTTCACATCGCTGGCGCCTCGTTCTCCAACCGTCACACACTCGTCCATACACGCTCCTGCACACCCCACCCCACCCCACCCCACCGCACCTCACCCGCAGGGCGAGCACTACTATGTGGTGACGGATCGGTGGCAGCGCTTCACATCGCTGGTGGCCTCTTTTTCTATCTCCCTCTCTCACACTCTAGTACACACACGCTCCCTCACACCCCAACCCCAGGGCGAGCACTACTACGTGGTGACGGACCGTTGGCAGCGCTTCACATCGCTGGTGGTGGACGGCGAGTCGCTGGCCCGGCTGGCAGACTGCTGCGATGAGTTCCTCGTGCATGGCGTGGATGTGGAGGGCATGAAGTGAGTGGGGGAGGGGGAGGAGGGGGGGAGAGGGGGGGGGGGGGTTGTGAGAGCTGCTTTTATTCCAGGGGAATGAGGGTACATTCCTACCTCGTGTCAGACACGAAGTGGAGGTTTGGATGGAGGTTCGGAAGACCCGAAGTGGCCCACTTCGGGTCTTCCGAACATTGATTTGCCAGAGTTCCAGGTCACTTCGGGTCTTCCTCAACTTCACTTCGTGTCTGACCTCATGTCAGACACGAGCCAAGAATGTACCCTGAGTTCCTCGTGCATGGCGTGGATGTGGAGGGCATGAAGTGAGTGGGGGAGGGGGAGGAGGGGGGGGAGAGGGGGGGGGGGGTTGTGAGAGCTGCTTTTATTCCAGGGGAATGAGTTCCTCGTGCATGGCGTGGATGTGGAGGGCATGAAGTGAGTGGGGGAGGGGGAGGAGGGGGGGAGAGGGGGGGGGGGTTGTGAGAGCTGCTTTGATTCCAGGGGAATGAGTTCCTCGTGCATGGCGTGGATGTGGAGGGCATGAAGTGAGTCGGGGAGGGGGAGAGGGGGGGAGAGTTGTGAGAGCTGCTTTTATTCCAGGGGAATGAGTTCCTCATGCATGGGGTGGACGTGGAGGGCATGAAGTGAGTGGAAAGGCAGGGGGGGGATTGGGGGGTAGAGGGGATGAAGTGAATGGGAGAGGGGTTTGCACTGTGCAGAAGATGAAGTGAGCATTGAGAGGTTATACTGTGCAGGGTATGAAATGAGCCTTGAGAGGTTAAACTGTACAGGGGGTGAAACGAGGGGTTGAAGTGTGGAAGGGATGAAACGAGCCTTTTGGAGTTGGATTGTGGAGGGTATCGAATTAGTCTGAGGGTTTGAACTATGCAGAGGATAGATTTGTTGAAAATGAACCCAAGGCCATGAGTTTCTTGTGCATGGGATGGATGTGGAGGGCAGTGAGGGCTTAGAGTGAGTTGGGGATTAATATGTGGAGGAGGTGTTAGTGAGTGTGGGGTTGGTGTGTGGCCGAAGAAATCGATGTCCCATTATGTGGTTTTAAAGTAAACAAGTCTTAGAGATACCCATTCTGCTGGTTCTATTCCAACCCGTCCTTTTTTTTTCGTCTCTGCTCTGCACTTTCCCCATTACTCATTGGCAGGCTGGGCATTGACGAAGAGCTGGTTTCCCTGCTTGGGAAATATTCACCAGTGAGTGCCCTTTAAAGTGTTAGCTTTTCCTTTTGTATGACCATTGTTGATTTTGTTAGAACCTAGTACATATCGTCCTATCTACGAGCTGCCATCAAACTTACTGTCTTTACTTGGTTTCTTTTACTCTTCTCCCATATTCTTTTCAGATCCCAGTGACCTACGTGGGAGGTGTTCGCTCTCTTGAGGACCTTGACATTGTAAAGGCAGCTGGAAGGGGAGCGGTGGATGTGACTGTAGGAAGTGCCCTCGACATCTTTGGAGGGGACCTGCCATACAGAGAGGTCGTGGAGTGGCATAGAAGCCAAGAAAAGGTGTAACGATCAAGCAGTTGGCCTGTTTCTTTCTCCTTGGCCGATTTAATATGCTTAATCAGCATGTTGTTCCTGATATTATAGTGAGTTTTTTTTATTCGTAAACATATGTAACGGCCTCCTCCAACAATACCTTATTCTGTAAGAGGAGTCATGCAATTCGCATCGAGGATGGGCTGGTGGTTCGCCAATGTGTTTGCTTCGCGCCATTCACCAACGGCACAGCTACTTCCACGATAAATTTGGCGCAAAGCAGAGCGAGCCCGGCTCCGCGCGATGCTGTCAGCCGTCGATGGACAATCGGCATTCGCAGCAGCCAACCCGGTGCAGCCATCTTCCGTTATGAGAACACTGAAAATTGTCAGTCATGCACGATCACACGATCACACCAGCACCATGCAAATTATCCTCCTCGCTTTCGCCTTTCCCATCAATAGGCGCTGTCAATGGCGGTTGCTAACTCACACTTCCCACTGCCCCAACCAAACCAGCAGTAACTAAATGCTTTCAATTTACTTCGCGGTTTATTGTTGACACGACGCTTTAGACAGGACTAGTCAGGGATGCTAAGTGGAACCTGCCGCGGTTCTGCGTTTCCTGCTTCGCGTCTCCCTCAACGTCAGCTGCTCACGTCTGGCTGGTCACCTAGCTAACCCAGGTCTTCAAACTTGCCTATCGCATTGTCAGCTGCTGACATCCGGTTGTTAATTTTACTAAATATACCGTCTCCCTGAGTCACCTTCGACGCTCTCTGGCGTAAAGCTTATCGTCGAACTACTAGACCATTTTATTCCGCGTTATTCGGCGACGGTACCTACTAGGAGATAGAAGCTAGCGCGAATCGCGGCGACAGTATGCGAGTCCCTCCGTCGCGAGTCGTCGCGCCGCACCCGATGGACTCGCTAGGCGCAAAGGAACAGACAGGACCGAAGAATGACAGCGGATACTGCGAAACATTTCTTCCCATTTTCGGTACAGTCACACCGGATTTTGTCACCATCCAGGGCCGGCCGCCAAGCCCGCTTATCTTTCTCGTGCGAGCCTGCGGCGACGGCGTAAATACGAACTCCGTCTGTAGTAGTAGCAACCATAGCAGTGAAAGCAACGGCGGAAGCCACAGCAGTGGCAGCAGCGAGGGGAATCGTGCGGGAGACGAAAGCCAAGGGCCTTCGGTGAAGTGCGGCGGTATGGAGTGCGGTGGGAGGGAGTGCGAGGGGCTGGAGGCACTGGTGTCGGACTTCTGCGGCAGCTCGTGGCGCACGCGGCTTTCACGAGACGACCTTGAAGACGAGGTGCGGCAACTTACCTTTCAATACGCACATCGCGGTAGCTCCTAGTGCGGTAGCTCCTAGTGCGGCAGCTAGTGCGGTAGCTCCTAGTGCGGTAGCTCCTAGTGCGGTGCGGTAGCTCCTAGTGCGGTGCGGTAGCTCCTAGTGCGGTAGCTCCTAGTGTGGCAGCTCCGGCGGCAGTCTTTCTTAGCTCATGCGACATTGGTAGTTCCTTGGCAGCGCCTAAAAAAAGGATCGAGTCGCCTCAAGAATACGCAGCTCCTAGTCCAGCAGCTAGTATGGTTTCACAAGCCCGTTTCCCAAAAGTAGTTATTAAAAGTGATTTTTTTTTTCTTATCTTATCCGTCGATGCTTTCGTTTCTGGCTCGCTTTCGTCATAATTTCCGGTACAAGGGGCCCTCTTTGACACCCACAAATCTTTCCCTCGTTCGATCTGCCATCGCCATTCTTGGACGGCGCGCGCCGTGCAGAAGGACAACCTCGGAGTGGGAAGGAGCTTCGCGAAATTCCTGGTACAGGGTCCTTTCTAACACGCTGACAAACCCTTCCCCCGTGCGATCTGCCATTGCCATCCTTGGGCGTCGTGCAGAAGGACGACCTCGGAGTGGGTGGGAGCTTCGCGGACTTCCTCGCGTTGATCCACGAGTCGCTCTCCTCGCGCCATGTTACTGTTGCACCCGCTCTCGCCCGAGCGCGACCCAACCAAGGTAGCACTCGTCATCCCTAAAAACACCTGCTCCACCGCTTTATCCCACCGCCGCCACTCTAATGGCTTGTTTGGCTATGTTGTGCTAGTTCCTCTGTTGCCAATAGTTCTCTTTTGCATGTCTCATTCTCATCTTGCGTCGTCCTCCAATCAATCATCTTGGCCGTCCGATTTTCCCCTCCCATCTGCTCATTCCAATCGCAGCTTCCCTCCCCGCCAATCATCTCCCTGCTCTCGATACAATCACGCTCACAGGCCAAAAGGCCGAACGCGCTCCGAAAATTAGATTCAAGCTGAAGCGCGTGGATTGTCCGGGAAGGAACGCTGAAGGAGGGGAAAGGAAAACTGACGCTGGCGTGGAACAACCGCTAGCGTCACACTCGCACTCGTTACAGTCACACACGTTACAGTCATCCTCGTTAGAAGCAATTGGGTCAGCCACGTCACCAGCGTCAGCACCCATGTTTCCGTCGTGCGAATCAGTGGCGGCGGAAATCGCGTTCGCGCTAGTGAGGGACCGACTCCACCTGGAGAGGACGCTTAGACGAGGTGAATGAAGGGAGGGGAGGGGAGGGGAAGGAAGATTAGCCAGCAACTGGCGGTTATGAGAGCGGGCATGTGTTTCTCGAATAAACGCCCATGTGTTTTTTCACAAATAGGCTGTCGATAGTGGGTTTCTGCCAACACAGTCACGATGGTTCGGCCTTTCCCTTTTCCCTCCCCTCCCTTGCCTTATCCCCTCTGCCTCATGTGTTCCCGCCTCACTCAGAGCGCGCCAAGCACGTGAGGCAAATGGCAGAGGTGGAGAAAGAGAAGGTAAGCTTTGGGCGGGCGAGCGGGTGGCGTGGAGGGCACGGGCTACTTAGATTCAGATTCGCAAGTGTAGGAACAGCAGGAGAAGAGGAGGGAGGGAGGGTGAGGAGGAGAGGGTCGGCGAGAGTGCAAGCGAGTTGTCCGGAGGCCGCAAGTCCTGCCTGTTTAGCTAGCAAGCTAGTCAGGATCTCTGGATCAAGTGGCTTCTGGCTAGTCAGCCTGTTTAGGATGGCGTGTTCAGGATTTGGAGGGAAAGAGAGATTATCTGGTTAGGCGTGTGTGTGTCTCCCTGCTTGTTCAACCGCTTTTCACCATATCTTCCTTCACCCTTTCAACGTCGCTGCATACCCGCGTGTGTGTCTTGATCAGGCCACAGCTCGCAGTTACAACCCTCTGGTTCACCCCAAGTCCTTGCCTCACCCTTTTTCACCGCATTTCACCCTTTTCCCTTCGCCATTCCGCTGTCCCCACTCGCCCCCGCGTGTGTCTGTGTGTTGAGCAGGACGCAGCTCTCAGCTACGGCATTCTAGGGCCCCCCAAGTCCAAGCTCGCCCGCTCGAGATCCGCCTCGCGAATGACAGGCAGCCACGTGGCACCTGCCCCCTCCCGCTCCCTCTCATACTCGCAGTCGATGTCACGCTCACAAGGGCATGCACCATCCCAGAAACATCCTCGGGCAGCATCAGCATCAGCATTACCTTCTGGAGCACCATCAGCGTCAGCACCAATGTCAGTAATGGCAGTACCAACAGCATCAGCACGGGATACAGCAGGTACCACAATAGCTCGCTCAGGTAGCGGTCAGGGGAAGGATTCGCAGCAGTCGCAGCAGGGGCAGCAAGGGCAGCAGGGGCAGCAGGGGCAACAGGAGCAACAGCAGCTGGGGTCTATGTCACAAGATCCATCGTTATTGTCACAGGGTGGCTCTCAAGGTTGGCTGGTGGAGTCGCAGGGGACAACAGAGGATGCAGCAGCACAGATGGCATTGTTACAGTCACACCCAGTACTGTCCCAGTTGGATTCTCAGTCCCAGCCGTTTTTGTCTCAGTCAGAGCCTGTCATTCCACGTGCCTTCAGCAGAACAGGGGAGGAGAGAGGAGGAGAGATGATGGGAGCAGGGGGGAGGGAGGAGGATACGGGAAAAAGGGCAGAAGGCAGCCTGGTGGGTTCAGGAGGAAGAGCAGGAGGGGCAGCAGGAGGTGGTGTAGCAAGTGCAATGATGGCACGAGATAATGCTGCTAGTCAAAGGCGGCTCCAGCAAAGAAGGCAGCCTGTGCCGTTCTCTAGAAGGTACGGTGTGGAGTGGTGCAGGGTTGATTATGAGGTATGAGGTGTCTTGCAAGTTTGATAAGGACTGATGTTTGTTTGTTTGTTTATTTTGTTTTTGTTTCCTTTCTTTTCTTTTCTTTCTTGCCTGATCTTTTGATGTTTGTTGCATTGCACTATTGCTAACCTAAGTACGCTCTTTCTTCCACCTTGATTCTGCATGTAATGTGCAGGGTTAAAAGACGAACGCTGGGCACTAAACTCACCACTGACGGAGATGATGACGATGATGATATCTGAATGGCTCTGACTAACACGCATTGTTGACTTGGAAGCTTCTAATTCCAATCCTGTATATAAAAGTTGTGTATTGGATTTGTGTTTTGCGTAGTCTGTAACATGTAATACCGCTTTTTTGAAAAGAAACCGCTTCGTGACGGAACATTGTTCGAATTTCAAGGGACTACAAAAAATTTGAATATCACCGCCTCAATCAGCTCTCCTCTGCTGCTGTCCGCTCTGTGTTGACCCCGCCTTGACATCACCACTTTCCACGGGCTCAGCTAGACGTCGAGGTTGAAAGCGATTTCAGGACACCTGTCCCCGACGTGTCACGCTTCCAGTGTCAGAAAGATGCCGCTCCTTGTCGCTCACTATCGGCCAATGCTCGATCCAACGCCACGTGGCAGTCCATAGTAGGGCTGCCGCCGGCACGATTACGTTTTCCTTCGTGTGAGGTGGAGTGGTCCTAATCCGAAAATAAGTACACGTGGTGTTAAACTGCCACTTAATTTCCGCTTAGTGGTAACTTCTACTTATTAAGGGGATAAGCTCTCCCGAGTGCCGACTTATTCCTACGCGGTAATAACCGTTAGATCCTCTTCATGCCCGTGTCGCTTCGCCACGGCTCCACGTTCGCACCGCCCGCCGCTCTCTCTCCGCGCTTCCGCGGCAGTTCCGCCTACGGGGTAGCTTTAGTCGCGGCAGGGTGCATTCTCGTTATAATCAGCCTCGTTCGGTCAGATATAAGCCATCCCAAGTCCTTCGCTCTTAACTCTTCGCTCATCCTGCAGAAACAATTGACTGAAGCCAAAGCAGAAGCAGCCGGAGAAGGAGCCGCATGGAAGGCCGCAGAAACCGGAGCAGAAACAGGAGCAGCGGGAAGGAAGGCAGCAGAAGCAGAAGCAGAATCATGGGATGAAGTTGGTCTGGGCTTCGGTCTGGGCTTCGGTCTGGGCTTCGGTCTGGGCTCCGGTTCGAACCCATATAGGGATAATGCAGCATTGACCCCACACAGAGATGATTCCGCAGCACTGATTCCCATTCTTGCCTCACCGGGATCCGATGGTAGTACCAGTATTATAGCAACTGATAGTGATGGTACAGTGCTTTCTGCTGTTAACAGAAGAGCAGCACCAGACGTACTGGTCGCAGAAGCAGTGGGCACAGCAGCAGGAGCAGATGGAGGGGCAGGTGAAGGGGTAGGTGAAAGGGCAGGTGAAGGAATGGCTATTGTTGCAGCAGAAACTAAACCGGGTGTTTCGTCTGCTGATCACAGCTCAGCATCATCCCCACCGTCCATTCCCACCACAGCCGAAGGCCTCCAGAGCATCATCGGCCAATGGGATCACATCCCTGGATCCGTCCTCGCCACGTCAGCACAGGTCCAGTCCTTCAGGGGCCGTTTCGCCTGCATCAGCAGGAATGGACGGTGGAGATTCAACGCCACGCCGCGGCTGCTGCCGTGGCCGGGCGAGATGAGTGCGTGCGACGAGAGGCACATGGAGACGGTGCATGGCGCGGTGGCGATGCGTGACGCGGATAGGGTGGTGGGGGAGGGGCGGGGGGAGGTGGAGTGGAAGGTGAGAGAAGCGCTCAAGTACGAATGGAGGGTGGAAGGGGACGGAGAAGGGGAGGGCGTGGGCGGGGAAGGGGGAGAGGGCAGTAACATCAGCAGTAGCAGCAGCGGCGGCGGCGGCGGCGGCGGCGGCAGCAGCAGTAGCGGTGGTGGCGGTGGTGGCGGGAGCAGTGGTGCCTCAAGCACCCCCAGCAGCAGCAACAGCCAGGGTACATGTGGGCGGTGGGAGCGGTTTTCAGGCGAGGCACTCTGCCGGGCGATAGCAGGGCGCAATGTAATGGTGGTGGGGGACTCGCTCAGCCTGCAGCTCGCGCACGCCCTGCGCTACAACACCCGCGTGGGGGCGGAGGACCCGAAAGAGCGTGTGCGGCGCGGGCAAATCTCGGTGCTGTGCCGGCGGGTGCGGGGTGCTTCGTACTCCCCCTGGCTGTCGCCGCAGCGCTGCTGGACCGCTGTGCTGTGTGGGGATGTGGAGGGCAGGCAGGGAGAAGGGGGTGTGCAGGGGAGGGAGGAGGGTGTGGATGCGCAAGGGAGGCAGGAGGGTGGGGACGTGGTGGGGACGGGTGAGAGTGGGGATGTGGAGTGGAAGAGAGATAGCAGCAGCAGCAGCAGCAGCAGCAGGGAAAGTTCACCCCAGGCCGCTCGCTCCTCTCTTGCATTCAACCTCTTCTTCGTGCGAGACGACTACCTGCTCTCCCCCGCCTGGCGCAACCAGTGGCTCACAAAGCGCGTGCAGGGCTCATGGGTGGATGATCTGCGGCGCGAGAACGTGTCGATTCTGATTGTCAACCGCGGCGCGCACTTCACCCCGCACGAGTCGTTCGCGTGGGAGGTTTCGGGGCAGCTGGCTTGGCTGAGAGAGCAGTTTCCGGCTCTGCTGATTGTTGTGCGCGGCACGCCGGCGGGGCATAAGGGGTGCATGCGTTACGACCGTCCCTTGGAAAGAAGAGTTGAAAAGGATAATTCAAGTGTTAGTGATAAGGGTGATGGGAGTTTTGAGCATGTAGATAAGTATAATTGGGATAAGTTTGCGCGACAGAATGAAGTTGCAAGGAAAGTGGCGGAGGCGGTGGGGGCTGTGTATATGGATGTGGAGAGTATGACAGAGCTGAGGCCAGATTCCCATAGAGGGGCCAAGGACTGCCTTCATTATTGTCACCCTGGGCCGATTGATGGTTGGGTGCAGCTGTTGTACAATATGTTACTGGACCTCCTTCCTGTATCTTAATATTTATATGTATATTTTCCCGAATTAACAGGGGATGCTGCCCTGATAAGGAGATTACTTATGTTGTGCCTAGTCAGGGTAATTGTTTATGAGTCTATTAAAGCGTAAACTTGATCAATTACTGTTGTGGAAGTTGCTGAACATCGGCAAATCCAAGTGGTTCCGAAACGGATCAGTTCGAAGCGAGAAATATATTCCCTTCCAGAACCTCCCTTCAACCCTCCCCAATTCATCCATTTCAAACCTTGCAGCACAACTTAGGGTTTTGGTGTGGCCGAAAGCTTTCTGTCCTCGCAGCCCCGATTGCCTTGCAGCTCCGATCACTGCTGCGTTTCTACAGCCTCTATATCCTTTGCTGTCGTTTCCGGTACAGCCATTATAATGGCTGCAGAGGAGGAGTTACGGCCGGTAGAGGCGAATAAAGACGTGGCCGAAGCGGCTGCAGAGGAGATTAAAGCTGTCAATGGGGCGTCGGAGGTAGGGCAGGAGGAGGACGGGAGCGAGGATTTCAATAAACTGATTCCGGATTCCGATTCGTCAGATTCGGAAGCGAGTGTAGGGGAGGGGGTAAGCGACGAGGAGGAAGAGGTAGAGGGAAGGAGCGAGAAGCGAGAGGGTGCGTCTGGAGCCAATCTGTTGGCGGCGCAGGCGCAAGCGGAGAAGAAATCCGCATTGCAGGCGGCGCGATTGGCGCGCGAGCAGAAGCGCGCCGAGTCGGCGGCGGAGCGGAAGGAGCGGCGCGCGCTGAAGGACCTGTTGCGGCGGCCGTGGGGGAAAGTTGGCGGAGGGGGAGATGGCGGAGAGGATGGGGGGAAAGAGGAGGAGGTGCGGGGGAGTGATGATGAGGAAGAGGAGGAGGAGGGGGAGGGGGAGGAGGGTTCAGATGGTGAAGGGGATGATGAGGCGGAGGAGGGGGAAGAAGAGGAAGGAGAGGAGGGAGAAGAGGGGGAAGAGGGGGAGGAGGACGATGAGGAGGAAGAGGGCGAAGAAAGCGAAGAGGAAGCGGAGGCGGAAGAGGGGGAGGAGCGAGAGGGGCGGGAGGGCGAGGGCGCGGGTCATGCGGCGGAGGAGAGCGACTCCTCGGAGGACGAGGTGCGCCTTCTCTGCCCTTTCCTGTCCCACTCTCCCACTTTTGATACGCCTCAAATCGAGGGCGATGGCGCGGGCCATGCGGCGGAGGAGTGGGACTCCTCAGAGCCACTCTCCCACTCTCCCTCTCTCCCACTCTCCCTCTCTCCCACTCTCCCACTCTCCCACTCTCCCTCTCTCCCACTCTCCCACTCTCCCACTTTCCCAATCTCCCTCTCTCCCACTCTCCCACTCTCCCACTCTCCCTCTCTCCCACTCTCCCACTCTCCCTCTCTCCCACTCTCCCACTCTCCCTCTCTCCCACTCTCCCACTCTCCCACTCTCCCACTCTCCCTGTCTCCCACTCTCCCACTCTCCCACTCTCCCTCTCTCCCACTCTCCCTCTCTCCCTCTCTCCCACTCTCCCACTCTGCCACTCTGCCACCCTAACTAAGGCTCTCCACCCCCACTATTTTCCACTTTCGCCCGCGCCCTTTACTTTTCTCGTGCCCTTGCCCCTCCCTCCCTGCTTCTCCTTTCCCCTTCCCCCTACCCTTCCAGCGCCCATCGCGCAACACGGTGGGCAGGGTGCCCCTAGAGTGGTACAAGGAGGAGGGGCACATCGGGTACGACAGGGAGGGGAAGCGCATTATGAAGCAAAAGGGGCGCGCCTCTAAGGGGGACAAGCTGGACGAGTTCCTCGCCCACACCGACGACCCTGACGCCTGGTGGGTTGCGTTGCTGTGGTGCTGGTGGGTGGGGTGGAGTGCTGGTGGGTGGGGTGGAGTGCTGGTGGGTGGGTATTGCGTGTGCGCAGTGAGAGAGGCCGCTAAGGGGGACAAGCTGGACGAGTTCCTCGCCCACACTGACGACCCCGACGCCTGGTGGGTGCGGTGGGGTGGGGTGCTAGTGGTTTGGGTGGGGTACTGAGAGTGTGCGGCAAGGGTGCTCCTGTGTGTACAACGACCAACAGCGTGGCCGGCCGGGTGGGTGACTCTCGAGCCTTCTTCTGACCCACTGATCTCTCTACCTACTCCTTCCGTCCTTCCTACCTCCCTCCCTCTCGTCCCTTACCAGGAAGGTTGTGTACGATGAGTACAACGACGAGGAGATACGGCTGACAGAGCGGCCGGGTGACTCTAGGGCCCTCCTCTGACTGACCGCTCTCAACCTACACCCACCCTTTTGCCTAATTGCCTCTACCAGGAAGGTGGTGTATGACGAGTACAATGACGAGGAGATACGGCTGACAGAGCGGCCGGGTGACTCTAGGGCCCTCCTCTGACTGACCGCTCTCAACCTACACCCACCTTTTTGCCTAATTGCCTTGCCTCTTCCAGGAAGGTGGTGTATGACGAGTACAATGACGAGGAGATCCGGCTGACAGAGGAGGATATTGATATGATCCGCCGAATCAGGGAGGGGCGCACCCCGCACGCGCACGTCGACCCCTACGAGGTGAGCTGAGCTGATATGAGTCAGGAGTCGTTGCTGTTGTTGCCGTTCAAGAATGTACGCAAGAGAGGGCGGATGGAAGTAGTAGCAGATTAGAGAGGTACCCCCTCCTTGACGACCAGGCAGATTTCTCCTCACCTTGTTTTACCCGCGCTGCTGTTCTCTTTGGTTTCGTCCCCATTACCTCCCCCCTCCCCCAGCCGTACCTGGACTGGTTCGACTGGGACGAGAAGTGGGACCCGCTTAACGCCCAGCCGGAACCCAAGAGGCGCTTCACCCCCTCCAAGCATGAGGCCAAGCAGGTGAGGCAGGCACAAGGTCAGGTGCTTCACTCCCTCCCAGCAGAGTCACGTTGACTTGCGTTGCTGCATGGGGGTAGGTAGATACGATATGGCAACCAGCTTTCTTTTACCGCTGCTGCTTGTGGCTTTTGAGAATTCTAAAAAACCTGCTGCTGTTGCTGTCACGTCGCCGCCTGTTTTTCCCTCTGCAACCCTGTCCTCCTGTTTTGTCTCCCACCTACCACAGCCCATCCCCACCACCGCCTATCACCTCCCACTCCTCTTCACCTTTCTTTTTTTCCACTCAGAGAGTGCGACTCAAGCAGGGACTGCGGAAAAGGACCGCTTTTGATCATCTCCTTTTCCACCACCAAACCCCCTTGCCCCTTCCCCCCTCTCTTTCCCATGCAGATAGTGCGGCTGGTGCGGGGACTGAGAAAAGGAACGATCAAGACGCTAGCGCAGAGGGAGAAGGAGCGGAAGCAGAAGGAGAGCGAGGGGCAGCAGCAGGCGGTGTACCTGCTGTGGGGGGACGACCTTAAAGCCATTGCCTCTCAGTCTGACAAGACCAAGAACGTCAACGGACTCAGCTTCGTCGCCGCCCCTAAACCCAAACTGCCAGGTCAGCCGAAACTGCCAGGTTAGTCAGAACTGCCAGGTCAGCCCAAACTGTCAGGTCAGCCCAAACTGCCAGGTCAGCCCAAACTGCCAGGTCAGCCCAAACTGCCAGGTCAGCCCAGACTGCCAGGTCTTTTTGCTTTTTTTTGCTTCTTTGCCTAAACCCTGGAAGAGGCAAATGCAGGCTGCAGCTGGACCCATGCGAATGCCTCATACTGCCCTTCCTACCCTGCATGCCTTGTCTCTTGGCATTGTGCAGGGCAGGAAGAATCATGTCATGCAACGCGCCAGTGGAACTTATTTTGACAGAGGAGGGGGATGTTGCAGTGTGAGCTATGCCAGTGTGTCATGACTCGGCCTTCCCTACCCTTCCCTACCCTTCCCTACCCTTCCCTACCCTTCCCTACCCTTCCCTACCCTCCCTGCCCTTTCTGCCCTGCCAACCTGTTTTCTGCCCTTTCTTCTCGCAGGTCACGAGGAGTCATACAACCAACCAACCAGTGGAGGAGGAGGTGGCAGCTGTTTGACCTATGCTAACATCACATGCCTGCCCATGACCTCCCATGATGCTGCAGGGTGTTTTTGAGAATTCTCAAAAACACCCTGCAGCCAACCAGTGGAGGAGGGGGTGGCAGCTGTTTGACCTATGCTAACATCACATGCATGCCCATGCCCATGACCTCCCATCCTGCCTCCTACCCTGTCTCACATTCTGACTCACATCTTGCCTCAAGGTGTGGGCTCGAGGAGTCGCACAACCCACCAGTGGAGTACATCCCAACAGAGGAGGAGGTGACGAAGGTGGAGGCAGCTTGACCTATGCTATTGCCTCATCACCCTCCCACGTGGCATGTGCAGGCCACGAGGAGTCGTACAACCCGCCGGTGGAGTACATACCCACGGAGGAGGAGGTGGCTGTATGAGCAATGCTAACGACACGCCCTACCTGTCTCCTGCCCTGTTTCCTGCTCTAATTACCCTGTCCCTCAGGTCACGAGGAGTCGTACAACCCGCCAGTGGAGTACATACCAACGGAGGAGGAGGTGGCGGAGAAGATGATGCAGGCGGAGTATGAGGGCACCTCCGACTCCCTCTTCGTGCCCAAGCAGTGAGTGCCCGTTGCTGTGCTGTGCTGGCAGGGTGGGCTAGATGCATAGTCAATCAGAGACTTCTCAAGTACATGATGCAGGCGGAGTACGAAGGCACCTCCGACTCGCTCTTCGTGCCCAAGCAGTACGTTCTGTCACTGTCTGCTGTGAGTGCTGTTTTGAAAGGCATGCAGGCGGAGTACGAAGGCACCTCCGACTCCCTCTTCATGCCCAAGCAGTGAGTGCCCCGTTTCGCTTCTGTCCGTTTTTCTTCTTCTTCTTTCCTAAACTCTAAACAACGCAGAAATCGCTCACAAGTTTCTCAAATAGGTGACTTTTGAGTCGACTCAAAAGTCTTCTTCTTCTTTCCTAAATCTAAACAATGCAGAAATCGCTCACAAGGTTCTCAAAAACTAGCACTGCTGCCCTTCCACCATGAGTGACAACGCTCACAAGGTTCTCAAATAGGCATACGCACACCGCCCGCCCGTTGCTCACCTCACCTCTTAGGTTTCGAGTCACGTTCAAGTCTCTTATCTCCTGCCATTTCCCTGTTTCCGCCTTCCCCCTCCACCCCCCCCCCACACCACCAGGTACACATCGCTGCACGCCGTGCTGAAAAACGTCTCAGATCCCCATTTCTCACCTCGCGCGTCTCCCCTGCTTCCCACTCCCCACCTCTCCCCCTCCTCCACCCCCCCCCCCCCCCCCCCCCCCCTCCCCCCCCCACCACCACCACCACCATCAGGTACACGTCCCTGCGCTCCGTGCCGGCGTATCCTCGCTTCATCCGAGAGCGCTTTGAGCGCTGCCTCGACCTCTACCTGTGCCCTCTAATCCACTCCTCCCCCCCCCCAACCACCACCACCACCACCACCACCACCACCACCACCACCACCACCACCACCACCACCACCACCACCACCACCACCACCACCACCACCACCACCACCACCACCACCACCACCACCACCACCACCACCACCACCACCACCATCAGGTACAAGTCCCTGCGCGCCGTGCCGGCGTATCCGCGCTTCATCCGTGAGCGTTTTGAGCGCTGCCTGGACCTCTACCTGTGCCCTCGCGTCAAGAAGAACCGGGTGCGTTGCCGTGGGAGAGTAGGGGTGTGTGTGGGAACCTGGGATACCTGGGGAACCTGGGAACCTGGGATACCTGGGATACCTGGGAACCTGGGATACCTGGGATACCTGGGAACCTGGGAACCTGGGATACCTGGGATACCTGGGATACCTGGGAACCTGGGATACCTGGGAACCTGGGATACCTGGGATACCTGGGAACCTGGGATACCTGGGATACCTGGGATACCTGGGATACCTGGGATACCTGGGATACCTGGGATACCTGGGATACCTGGGATACCTGGGATACCTGTTTGAAAGTGGTCCGGTCCGGATTGCGCTGCCTGGATCTGATTTCTGAGAATTCAGCATATCTGTTTGAAAGTGGTCCGGATTGCGCTGCCTGGACTTGTACCTGTGCCCGCACATCCAGACGAACCACGTGCGTTGCCATGGAGAGGAAGAGTGCATGAACGGTGTTGGGATTGTTTTCTGAACTGTATGTGGTTAGAAGGGTTGATTGCGCTGTTCTAGACCATCGCATGTGCTCGCGGGTCAAAGACGACAGGGCACGCACGCACGCACGCTAAGCTGAGTAGCCTTGGCGTTCCATGTGACACGCACCGCATCACTGCGCTACTTCTCTGTCGCTTACCCTCTCCCTCTTCCACCCTCCCTTGTTGCTCAACGTCTCCCTTTCACCCCTGCTTACCAATCCTTTCGTCATGACCCCCGACCGTTCCCCCTTCTCCCACCCATTCCCCATCCTCCCTGCCCGCCCTCTCCCTCTCCTCCCCCCGTCCCCCTTTCTCCTCCGCTTCCTTCCTTCGACCCCCTCCTTCAGATTATGATCGACCCTGACGCGCTGCTCCCCAAGCTGCCCAAGAGGAAGGATCTGCGTCCCTTCCCCCACTCCCTCTCTCTGCGCTACCTGGGCCATCGCGCCACCGTGCGATCACTCTCCCTGCACCCCTCCGGGCAATGGCTTGCCTCAGGTACCGTCTGCTCTGATTTGATCTGATTTGATTGGAAAGGAAGTTCTCTTATGACTGAGTGCTTTCACGAAGACCTGTTCCCGATTCCCCCTTCCCATCTCCTCTCCGCTGCACCCCTCCCAACTCCTCTGCATCTCCCTTCTCTCTTATGCACCCCTCTCCACCCCTCCGCACCACACTGCAGGCAGTGATGATGGCACGGTGAGGGTGTGGGAGGTGGACACCACGCGGTGCAGCACACCATTACCCTGTTCCCAACCCCTCTGTACTCCTCTCCACTCCTCTGCACCGCACTGCAGGCAGCGATGACGGCACAGTGAGGGTGTGGGAGGTGGACACCACTCGGTGCCGGCGGGTCATCCAGATGCCAACGGCAGTCAAACACGTGGCATGGAGCCCTGCTTCCTCCCGCCCCATCCTCGCCATCACCTCGTGAGCCCCCACCTCTCCCCTCCTCTACTTTTGAGTCGACTCAAAGGCCATCCAGATGCCAACAGCAGTCGAACACGTGGCATGGAGCCCTGCTGCCTCCCGCCCCATCCTCGCCATCACCTCGTAAGCCTTCCCTTCCTCGCATCTTTTGAGACGTCTCAAAACCATTCAAGCACGTGGCATGCAGCCCTGCTGCCTCCCGCCCCATCCTCGCCATCACCTCGTGAGCCCCCACCTCTCCCCTCCTCTACTTTTGAGTCGACTCAAAGGCCATCCAGATGCCAACAGCAGTCGAACACGTGGCATGGAGCCCTGCTGCCTCCCGCCCCATCCTCGCCATCACCTCGTAAGCCTTCCCTTCCTCGCATCTTTTGAGACGTCTCAAAACCATTCAAGCACGTGGCATGGAGCCCTGCTGCCTCCCGCCCCATCCTCGCCATCACCTCGTAAGCCTTCCCTTCCTCGCATCTTTTGAGACGTCTCAAAACCATTCAAGCACGTGGCATGGAGCCCTGCTGCCTCCCGCCCCATCCTCGCCATCACCTCGTGAGCCCCCACCTCTCCCCTCCTCTACTTTTGAGTCGACTCAAAGGCCATCCAGATGCCAACAGCAGTCGAACACGTGGCATGGAGCCCTGCTGCCTCCCGCCCCATCCTCGCCATCACCTCGTGAGCCCCCCCTCTCCCATCCACCCTCCGTTCCCCTCCCCTCCTCTCGCCCCTCCTCTTCTCTCCCTTCCGATCCTCTCCCCTCCCGTTCGCTTCTATCACCTCACGTCCCCTCCTCTCCTCTCCTTTGACCTCTCCTTTCTCCCTTCTCCACTTCCCTCCTCTCTCCCTCCCGCTCCTGCCATTCATCTTGCATCCCCCGTCTACTCACCAATTATTGTCTCCTCCCTCTCCTTTCCGCGGCCCCTCTGCTTCATTGCTCCCCTCCCCGTCAGGGGCACGGACATGGTGTTGCTGCGTGTTTGAAGAAGTGTTTTGAAGAAGTGTTTTGAAGAAGTGTTTTGAAAAAAGTGTTTTGAGACGTCACTTTCAAAACACTGCGGACACTTGTTCAAACACGTCAGGGGGGCACGGAACGGACGTGGTGTTGCTGCAAGGAGAGAAGGTGGAATCTCCTTCGTCGTCTCCTCTCATCCTCTCATGTTGTTTCCTCCTTCTCCTTCTTCCCTCCTCCTCGCAAACATCTGACAGAGGCACGGACGTGGTGTTACTGCCAGGGGAGGGGGGGACGGAGGAGGAGGAGAGGGCGGTGGAGCAACTGCTGGAGGCCAAAGAGGGGTGGAAAGAAGGTGGGTGGGGATGGGTGGGGTATGGGTGTGGATGAGTGTGACTGGGTTTGTCTGGTTGTGGATGGGTGTCGATGGGTGTGACCGGATGATCCATGCATGCATGGGTGCTGTGGGGGGCACGGAGGAGGAGGAGAGGGCGGTGGAGCAGCTGCTGGAGGCCAAGGACGGGTGGAAAGAAGGTGGGTGGGGATGGGTGTGGCTGGTTGTCGATGGGTCGGGATGTGTGGGGTGGGTTTGAATGGATGCGTGCATGGGTACATGGGTGCCATATGACGGAGGAGGAGAGGGCGGTGGAGCAGCTGCTGAAGGCCAAGGACGGGTGGAAAGAAGGTGGGTGCAAATGGGTGGCAGGTGGGTGGCAGGTGGGTGGCAGGTGGGTGGCAGGTGGGTGGCAGGTGGGTGGGGGATGATTGCGGGATGGGTGTGGATGGGAATTGGGGGGGTTACAAGTTTGTATGAATTCCTGGAGAAGATGCAATGTGTTCCATCCATGCTTCAGCAACTCATCCCCTACTCCGATCAGTTGCTGCATCTGCAATGTTTTTCTGACGTGTCAGAAATCAAATCACAACAGCCGTTGAATTGAAACCCCGCTTTCTTGCCGCGTTTCCGTTTCCGCCACAGACGCGGGAGTCGGGGTAGGGGTGACATGGAGCGCGTATAAGGGAGAGGGAGGCAAGCTCAAGGGCCTACGGCTCAGACACCAGGAGGTAAATTCTAACACAGGTATCTAGTACTAGGTAAGGCAAGGTGGTAACTCCTCTGTTACACAGAATAGGTTAACCTCACTGCTTCACTCAGCTCTTTTCACTCACACTCCACCGTGCTCCTTTGTACCCAGTTCTCTTGTAGGGCTCCATAACGTTTCTCTACCAAGCGTGCGGCAGCTCCTCAAACACCGACTCTTTCGCTTCCTCCTCATGCTTGCATTGTAAAGCGATTACGTCCCTGTGTTTCCCGCTGCTATTCCACCTATCCTGTCCGCCGTCCCCCATGCAGCAAGTGTCGAGTGTCACGTGGCATCGCAAGGCCGACTACTTTGCTTCCGTCTCCCCAAATGATAAGTCCTTCTTCCTTCTTGCATTTCAGTTATTTCCAGGTTCTTGATTCTGAAGTCTTGCCCATCGATGGCCTACCGGTTTTCCTAGCACGACTGCTTAGTACACAGCATATGCACTCTTTTGAGACGTCTCAAAAGCATATGCACTCGTTCTCTTGCGTTTCTGATGAGAATCCCGCTCGTTCTCTTGCGTTTCTGATGAGAATCCCGCTCGTTCTCTTGCGTTTCTTATGAGAATCCCGCTCGTTCTCTTGCGTTTCTGATGAGAATCCCGCTCGTTCTCTTGCGTTTCTGATGAGAATCCCGCTCGTTCTCTTGCGTTTCTGATGAGAATCCCGCTCGTTCTCTTGCGTTTCTGATGAGAATCCCGCTCGTTCTCTTGCGTTTCTGATGAGAATCCCGCTCGTTCTCTTGCGTTTCTGATGAGAATCCCGCTCGTTCTCTTGCGTTTCTGATGAGAATCCCGCTCGTTCTCTTGCGTTTCTGATGAGAATCCCGCTCGTTCTCTCCCCGCTTTCCTGCTGGGAGTGCTCTCCGCCTCTCCTCTCCGCCTCTCCTCTCCGCCTCTCCTCTCTGCTTGCGTTCCCTCCCTTCCTTCCATCTTCCCCCGTCCAACTCTCCCAATTCCCCCCCTCTCCCGCCTCACCCCTCCTTTCCCTTATCTTTCTCCACGTGGCAGCAGGGCAGTGGTGATTCACCAGCTCACCCGCCGCGCATCGCAGTGCCCGTTCAAGAAGGCAGCAGCGGGCGGGGACCGGCGCATTGCAGCGGTGGCCTTCCACCCATCGAAACCCATCCTCTTCGTGTCGTCACGCACGCTCGTGCGCTCGTACCACCTGCTGCGGCTCTGCCTGCTGAGGAAATACATGCCCAACATCAAACAGATCTCCTCACTCGCCATACACCCCTCAGGTGTGTAGGACCATCAGGTGGGCAGGGTGGGACAACTAGTAAAAGCTGTGTCTGTAGATCTGTTCTCCCCTCCACCCACCTACCACCTGCTGTGGCTGCGCCTGCTGAGAAAATGCATGCCCAGCATAAAGCAGATCCTCTCGCTTGCCATTCATCCCTCAGGTAAGGCTCCTGTCATTGGTCTCATGACCCTCAGGTAACTCCCATGCACTCTGCCCTCATGACATTCTACCTTCTGCTGGTTATGGGGGGGCACGGGAAAGATGTGTTTCCAGTCATTGCTTGCACGCACCTCTTAATCTCTCTCAACCTCCTGCCTCTCCCTCCCCCTGCCATCCGCCCTGTCGGCAGGCGATCATCTGCTGGTGGGGGGAGACGAGAGAAAGGCATGTTACAAATCGTTTCAATCATTCCACCCTCCTCCTAACCCCACTAAATCCTCTGCCCTCCCCACCATCCGCCCTTTTTGTGTGACAGGCGACCATCTGCTGGTGGGGGGAGACGAGGGCAAGGTGGCATGGATTGACATGGACCTCTCCACACGCCCCTACCGCGTCTTGAGGTGCGTACTGCCTTACTTCCATGTCCTTGCCATGGCTTTGCATCCCTACAATTCAATTTGAGGTACTCACCGCCATACCACATACAGCTAGCCCAGTGTGCAACTATACCACTTCCGCCTTTGCAAGCTGTATTGGCTCTTAGAGTACTGCTTGCAAAGGGGAAAGTGACAGAAAGGCGGTATGGGTCGACATGGACCTCTCAACCCGCCCCCACCTCACTTCCCGCCCCTTTTCGCCTGCATCTTCTTGTCTTGCCGCCCCACCCTCTGCAGGAGTCACAGGGGCATGGACGTGCGGTCCGTGGCATTCCACCCAACATACCCGCTCTTCGCCAGTGCAGCGGAGGACGGGTCAGCCTTTGCCTTCCACGGGATGGTCTTCGCCGACCTGCTGCAGAACCCTCTCATTGTGCCACTCAAGATCCTCCGCGCCCCTCCGCCCCCGCAACAAGCTGCATCGCCGTCATCCTCCTCCAAGAGTGCGTTAGGTTTTCTATTCCTCTCCTTTTTATATGCCACATCAGAGGTAGTGCCCTGTGCCTCTCTTTGTGCCACTCAAGATCCTCCGCGCCGCGCCCCCCCGCCCCCGCAACAAGCTGCCTCGTCCTCGTCCTCCTCCAAGAGTGCGTTAATGTTTTTCTCCACTCCGTTCTTTATCGTCACATTAGAGGTATTGTTACCCCATGCCCCTCATACATGCCCCTCCTCGTGCCTTGTCATCATTACTGTTCTCATGCTCCTCCCTGCTCTCTTTCCTCCTTAACCGTTCAACCCTCTTCCCTCTCATCAACCCCATGACTCTTCCCTGTGCATGCAGGTCTGTACGCGTGTGCCTTCCACCCCTCCCAGCCATGGCTCTTCACAGCAGGTGCTGACTGCTCAGTCACCCTCTTCACACACTGAATCCCTGCTCTCTGCTCTGCTCTGCTCTGCAAGAGGCACTGTTATACATAAATACAGTAGCCCACCTGATTTTATTTTCCGTCGGCTCCTTGCTGGGTATGTATGAACACTCCGAGAGGGAGTTGTGCAGACACATCGCCATACTTTGTTACAGGCTTACAAAGTGAATGAATTCTGCACTAAAAATGGTGGGCAATCAAGGAGCCATGGCATGTTGGGCACTTGATTTGCCACAGGTTGGAATGCAATGCAGCTAAATAGCGAT